TGGCCAGAAGATTGGGTAGTCACCATACTCGAAACCTGGAGAACCGGAACTCAAATACCCTATTGGTTCAAAAGCTCGGTTTGGATGGACGAGACGCCATAGTGGCTGTCATTGAGGCAGAATCCTTCTCCGGCTGGCCGCCAGATTCCCTCCAGCGGACTGCAACCGCGCACGGGCTGACCACACCGGCGCCTCTTTCGTTAGTGCGTTAAACGCCAATCATGTCGGCTGGGGAAGTTTACTACTTTGGCGAACGCAATCAGGAGCGAGATGGCCATGCTAGTCCCGGGCCGGCCGGCCACCCCGGATTTTCAAGCTTCCTGCTAACCCTCGCTCCACCATCGGCCTTTTCGTCCACCGGTCAACAGTCCCCAGTCTGACGCATGCCAAAGCGATGAGCTTGATGAAATCTCCATGCATTTGACCCCGGAACAAGGCTTAGCAGGGATTTGACGTATATAGGCCATGTTATCTGCCCCACCCCCGCTCGGGGTCCTTTCCTGTGTTTTTTCGTATAAGTTCTGCCGTTCAATGTCCCACTTGACACTACTTCATGGCCGAAGAGATTCACACACCATAACATATCGATCGGCATTTCAAGATGGGTCGATACTTTACAATTGGCCTGGCTGCATTTGCAGCTACAGGGTCTTTTCTGTTCGGATATGACAGCGGTGTCATGACGGACGTAATCGAGTCGAAGAATTTTCTGGCTTTCTTCAACACCACCCAGACATCAAGCATCATTGGTGCTATCAACAGCACATTTTCGGGAGGTGGTAGGTTCTTTTCTCTGGCTTGGACCTCCTCCATTCTATGTATTGCCCTTCTGGCTAACAATGGCTGCTAGCATGCATTGGCGCGCTCCAGGGTGGTCTAACGATGGACCGCTTCGGACGAAAGTTCACTATCCAGATGGGTGCTTTCATTTGCATGATTGGCGCTATTCTTCAATCGTCAGCGAAGAACTTGGCCATGATCCTTGTTGGTCGTATTCTGGCCGGTTGGGCAGTTGGTCTCATGTCTATGTCTGTCCCAGTGTATCAAGCAGAGGTCGCTCATCCCCGTTCGCGTGGGTTCATCATTGGTCTAGCCCAGCAGATGATCGGTGTTGGGTTTATTGTCAGTACGTATGTATACCACCACCACAACCATGTCTGCATATATTTCAGACAAGGAAAACATTAACTTAAGATTAGCTGGGTCGGCTACGGCTCCCTTCATGCGCCGGATACTAGCGAATTTCAATGGCGATTCCCGCTTGCCTTTCAGGCCGTTCCTGCCGTTCTTCTCGTTATAGGCATGTTCTTCATGCCCGAATCACCTCGATACCTGATCGAAAAGGAACGCTATGAGGAAGCGATGAAAATCCTCCGAAGATTACACTTCGACGGCATCAACGAGGACTGGATCCAGACGGAATACAATGAAATAAAAACCACTATTGAAGCCGAAAAAGCTGTCACCGTTCCCGGATGGCTCATCATGTTCCGTGTGCCTCAATGGCGAACCCGACTCATGTGCGTTTCCTCCTCCTACCAACACCCTGATTTTACCCCGCATTCTATTAACATCCCACCCAATCAGGCACGGCATCGCCGTCCAAGTCTTCACCCAAATGACAGGCGTCAACGTCGTAAATTACTACCAAACAATCATGTACAACGCCCTCGGCATCACAGGTAACCGCAACACACTCGTAGCAGGAATCTACAACTGCGTCGGTCCCATCACGAACTTCATCTTCATTTTCTTCCTCCTCGACCGAGTTGGACGCCGCAAGCCCATGTTGTTCGGGACCATAGCAATCACCATCGCCCTAATCTGCGAAGCAGCTCTCTACTCGCAGAACCTGGACGGTACTCGAAAGGGATACAGTATCGGCGGTGTTTTCTTCATCTTCTGCATCACCGTTATCTTTTCTCTATCATTCGGCCCTTGCAGTTGGTTAGTGCCTCCCCCAACTATCAACTAACATGGATACTGTTGCCTTCTAACATGCTACTATCGATAAATAGGGTCTACATGGCAGAAGTAATGCCAATGCAAATCCGCGGTCGAGGAAACGCCTTCGCCACTGCCATTGGCAACTGGGCCGTAAGCACTCTCTGGAACCAGGTCTCCCCGATCGCGCTGGACAAGATCCAGTGGAAATTTTATTTCGTGTTTGCGGCGTGGAGTGAGTAACCCATACTCCTTTACCAACTCCGTTGCCCTATATTCCTCCCTTTCCCTTACTGCTTGTCTGCTAACCACATCAAAATCGAAACAGACGTATGCATCACTCTTCCAACCGTCTACCTCTTCTTCAAAGAAACAAACCAGAAGTCACTCGAAGAGATCGATCTGCTCTTCGGTGGTCGTGCCCTGGGAATGCTTCCCGAGGATGTAGTCGTAAAGGGGGGTACAGTCGAGACTGAGAAGGCAGAGGAGACGGGGGTATCGGTCATCAATGTCGAGCATACTAGTATCGTGTGACCATGGCGGTGTCTTCTATCAAGGAAGCGTGTGACCGTTCATGACAAATCAGTAAAGAAGCAAATACACAACGAACAGAATTGCACTGCGTCATTCCATTTCGCCGATCAGAACTCTGGTCTTGTTCTATACCATAACCCAACCATCCATCCCTCTGCCCTCTAATCCCCACCCCAACCCAATCAAAGAAACGCCCTACTCCCCAACCTGAAAAACTCCCTCGCATTCCCAAACTCAATCAAATCCACCTCCTGGGCCGATAACTTCCCCGACTCCCTGACCTTCTTCAAAAACTCCTTTCCCGTAACATTATCCTCGAACGGATAATCCACACTATACATCACCCTCTCCACCTTCGTAACCTGCAACAACATCATCAACGTCTCAACACTAAACACTCCACTGGTCGTAACCCATATATTCTCATTCCAGACATCCATAATCCCCTTGCGTCTCGATGCCGCCAACCCCTTGAAAAACCCCAATCTCGCGATCCGGTGCAACATGATCGGGAGCAGCTCGCCCATGTGTCCGATTACTATCTTGAGTTTGGGGTATTGCTCGAATACTCCCGCCGCGTAGAGTTTCAGGATATGCAGGCCTACGTTCTCGTGCCAGCCCCAGGCTGCGGACGCGAGGCCGAGTTCTGCAGCGAGTGGATAGTTGCCGGAGAAGCGTGATTGGATGGAATCCTGGGATGGAGTGGAAGGGTGGATGTAGAGGGGGACGTCGAGGGATTCGGCGGCTGCGAAGACGGGCCAGAAGCGTTTGTCGTCGTAGTGGGTTGTTCCGTCCGGGAGGTGGTTGTCGATTAGGGCACCGAGGAAGCCGAGGTCGGTGACGGTGCGGCGGAGTTCTTTGGCGGCTTCGAGGGGATGGGCCATTGGGAGCGCTGCGAAGCCGCCGAATCGGTCTGGGTGCTGTTTTATGGCGGTGGCCATTTCGTTGTTGGCTGCGTAGCAGCGCGCGGGGTCGGTTGAGGCGACGCCGCCGGGAAGGTGGGAGAGGATCTGGTAGGAGACGTTGCCGGCGTCCATGTTGGCGAGACGGGCTTTGGAGAGGTCTTTTGCCAGGTTGCGACGTTCAGGGTAGATCTTCCATGTGTTGTCGTAGAAGAAGTTGTTGCTTTCGAGGGATGGGAATATCGCGTGCTCTTCGAGCGTGATGGCTTGCGCGGGGGAGGCCATGATGTGGGATTGTGGTTGTAGTGGTGATATCGGGTTGGTCGGTTTGGGCTGTCGGCTTATACAGGTAGGTGGGAGCGCAGCTCTCTATATTGCTTTCGGTGTAGGTGTAGAAGGCGGTTGTCTGACTAGTGCAGACTTAAGTGGAATTGCAGCTCATTTGAGTCAAAGGTGCTGTGCGACCAACGCCCCTGGTAAGGGATAAGTAGGGGCATGCTGCTTCATTAGCTGAGGACGGCGCCAGTTGTGGTGTGTAGAAATGAGGGACAGGTCAACTTGGTGTATTGGGCTGCCGATATTGCGGCCTATAAGCGTGCAAAGGAGACATAATGTTTTCGGAGTAAGCTAGACAGTCCAGTCCCGAATATGGGAAGCCAGTTGATGCAGAGTCTGCAGTGTGTGTTGTCTTTAGCGTCCCGATCACCGAGTGTGAAGATCTGGATAAGCGTGTTGTTTATACAAGACAGGAGCAAACTGCGTCATAGCCATGGGTAACAATGAGCGCGAGCTGCACATCCGGGGGATCTGTGTGGATCGGCAGCCGTGGCATGACCTGGCACGACATGGCATGACCTGCTAATTTGTTGGCTTCCAGCTAGTGCGACCGCCACCAAAATCATGCTCAGCCGACCATCCATCGAGAGCTCCCTTGCAACCGCGCCAAGGAAGTTAGTCCGGGGCGCATGGGAAGGAATGAATCAATGCTTGCAGCGATCGCCCGACGGTCAGTGCTATAGGGTTAGTAGCATCGTTTAGAGTGATGGATGTGCGCTGCTGAGCCCCCCAGCGGCAACCTGCGCTAGTAGTTGGGAGAAGCTGCTGCCGGATGACCTGGGGAAAAAGGTGTGGAATGCAGGCAGCCAGATGCCTCTGGCTGGGCTCTCAAGGGAATAGAGCACATGGGTGGCACATAGCCTGAAGCCAGACAAAGGAACCCTGTGTTGTCATGGTGATGGCGATAGCACTGTGATTTCCTGATCTTAAAACCAAACTGTTATTCAGTCAAGCCCCTCATTCCTTTTTCTTGAATACTCGGGCGTCAGCGACCGTGGGAAATGTACGTCTCACGAGCATCTGCTGATTGATGGCTTCGGGATGGCCTGATAAAGCATGGTTGGCGCATACCCCGCCAGGTGACGACGATCAGAGGTACAACGCTTGGTGGTGGCTCGTATCCTTTATTAGCGGCCAGAATCCCCGGGGCTGTGGAACAACTCTCTTCAGAATTAACGAGAAGTCAAAATATAACTAAAGGAAAGACATCCTCGGCCTCGGTTGAGGATTGTCGCCTCTCTCTCGCTCGCAGCCCGACCACACCGAGTTCCCGCGACGAGGAACATGGGGTTGTCGGAGAAAAAGGATAACCCTCAGGTCAATCACCACATGGCCGTTGTCTTAGGAATCGGACTAGGAGTCGCGACCTTAATCATCATGTGTTTGCTGTGAGTGATTAGCCAGCCCCTTTTCAGCTTTGTGCCCGATGCTGGTCATGATCGCCTTCGCGCCACTAATACCCTAAATCTCTATAGTCTGACCCTTTTCGTCAATCGGCGTGAGCGCCATCCCGTTCTCAAGAGCAAAGGCAGCTCAAGCGACAAGTTACGCAAGCTGGATGCCGTCTCCCCAACTCGGACATTAGAAGATTGGTGGTCGCGAGCTAAAGGCCCTCTTTTACCGTCCGAAGGTGTTGAAGGCGACTTCATGTGGTACGTTTAGCTTGCATCTGCCGACCAACGGCTGAATTAGCGGCAACGCTAGCAAGTTGTTCGCCCACTAACGGTGCCGTTGACAGCGTTGTTTGCCTCGAGTCGGTTCTGCGCTGCCAGGAAATCCGAGAACTCAAATGTCTGCACGTGTTCCATCGAGAATGTCTCGAAAAGTGGTATCTGCAAGACCACTTCAATTGCCCACTCTGTCATAGAGCGTATTACGTTCAAGAGACCCATCCGAGTAATGAGTTTGTGTGGATGGTGTGAATGCGACCGACCTCTTCTTTTTCCAGGCTTATGCGGCGTTTGGTGTCTTGTCTGGGCATTCATCCCACGCCGGTCTTACTCCACTCGAATGTTGTCGCTCACTATGGGCATCAATATCTTCATTTTTCGGCTTTATAGGAAACATAGGCCAGTCCATGTGCGGGTCCCCGTTGGTTGGTCCTGGACGATAGTTGGGATCCTCTTTCATGAGTTAATGACCTTTGATGATTAATGCGATACCCATATGTTTACATCTCACAAGAGAAGTCAGTTTTGCGGAGGTAGATACTCTGAGTTGAAGTCCCAATTGTTGGGATTGCTGGGATGGTACCAGTCGAGGAGACTGTACAGGCCAGAGGTGGCATCGTGGAAAGCCAGATCCTCGATGGGCTGAGGATCAAGAACCTGGTCAAGAATATGAGACAACTTCCTCTCCGCTTCCTTGCACGTATGGTAATTGCCATGTCCCGGTCGCGCTACCCAGGAGAGGCATGAGATGAAAACACTCAGATTTCGGATGATTTCAGCACGCGGTAACGCAGTAGTGTATGTACCGATTCCCTGGTTTTGGTGAAGGAGCTCGAGGATGAGGACGCTGGCACTGGGGAGGCCGTAGTAAAGGAACTGCACCATGTTAATTATAGGAAAGACAGCATACTCTAAGGGGTATTTAACATACAACCCAAGCACGATGTCTACTCAAGTCAAAGGCTGGGTCACTGTCAGCGTTGCCTTTAATGATATTGGACAACATTGTTCGTGACGTATCAAAGAGAGCCTCATGCCCGGTGTTTGCGCGTTTAACAACAGTCCTCTGCAAAAGGAAAATAGTATAAAGGTAGTCCAGGTAAATATGGAGCAAGGTGAACGACTTTGTTAGGGGTCCCGACTCGGTCCCTTCCGCAGACACGTCGTAACGGAGACGGACGGGGCACACTGCCCACGACTCCCGCGCTTGCTTTATTATTTCACTTGAATAGATTAGCGACAAGATCATTATTCATTCGCACGAGACACCATGGCATGAGTATGACTCACTCAGAATTCTGCACCGTATCGCTGTGCTCACCGGTCCCTAAGGCTATCTCGAGAGCTCGTTCTCTATATACGGCCAATATGAAACGAAGACGGAGCACACTTGCTCGATCGACCTCATCTTCGGCTGACCATCCGAAACGATCTAATCTTGCGATCGCCGCGTTTAACTCATCCCCACCATGGACTATACTTCTTTCGCTAATGTCCAGCGGGGGTGTTAGGGTGCTGTAGCGGTAGTTAATGGATGGCGGTCGTCCCACGAATGTGGCTTGATTCTTATCTGCTGAGAAGGCAGCAGCAAAGCAAGATCTTCTCCATTGACGAAGAAAGAAAGGGCAATTATCGTCCATGGGGCTGTCCTGGTGAAGTCCAGCCGCATAAATTGTAGCGGATAATTCACGGAGGCGACGCCAGGCTTGGTAGCCTAATTTCAAACGACAATCAGCATATGCTACGTCCTAAGAAGAGTAATACTGGGAAAGCAAGGTCTCTGTACTTACTTGAGTCACCGTATACATGGGTGAGAAGTACAAAGCTGCTATACTGGCAAAAGCCCAATAGCTCATTGACTGAAGAAGCCTGGTCGCTAAAAGTGAGGCAGGTGCTGCTCGCTTCGACAAGCTGAGCGCGGAGTCTCTCCCGGGCTGAGGTGTCCGCCGCCACCTGGTATAGATCTGGGTCACTCTCAGGTGTAGATGAAAGCGACATTCCAGCAGTTGCGAAGATGATGCCTATAGCTTCCCAACGTAGATTTTGCCCAGTAAACGCTGCACAGTATTGCTCCACTGTCATTGAACCATAGGTTGACAATGGCCTGGAAGTATTCTGCGACACCTTACTAACTGTGTTCTGAAGCTGATCTTCGACATCCTCGGTGAAATCAAGGGCCCCGAGGACATTCCGAGTGGAGCGTACAATAGACATTGTGACGATCTCTGGAATGACAGCAACAAGGACTCGGGTGTAATATCTCCGGATTAAGCTATCGCATATTGTGAGGTTTTGAAGTAGCTTTAGTAACCGCACTCCAGTCTGGAGTCGTTCGGGTTCCATAGATTGGGACAATGTGGTGGGCATGGAGCTGTTATCTACATTGAGAGAGAACTCGGGGCGATGCTCCGCAAGAATGGCTGAGTAGCTCGTCGAGCCCAAGTATCCAGGAGAAGCAGAAGCCGGCTCCAACGTAGTGTTCTGTCTTGGAAGAGCGCTCCCTCCGCCTGCTTCTGTAGTTGACGAGCTATAACGATGTCAGCACACCTTCGTGCGCTGGACTTCCATGTGTAGTTGTTTTTGGATGTGACTGGAGAATTGTTACCTTGCAATGGACTGGCTATTTCTTCCTTGTGGCCCTCTGGCAGACCTGATCAAGCCTCCAGTCACTTTCTTCGTCATCGGTGCTGGATGATAAAAACATCCCGATACCATATTCTTAGTCAAGCATCGGCCGCAGACTGGTCTCTCATGGTCGCATCGCAATTTAGATTTGCGACACGGCTCACACGATTGCAAGGACCCATTACGTCGAACCGCATGTGATCGATGTTGGCGGCTGCGCAGATTAGAGTCTGGCATTTTGACAATAAACAACCGGCATTGAAAGAGTGATCAACTCATCACCATACTGACATGATTGAGAGCGAAGAGTCGGAGCAAATGTTGAAAGCGGGTAAATCAAGAAGCAGGCCTGACCTGCCCGAGACCGGGCACTTCCAGAGCGGGAACTAACTTGTTTTGGTATCGCGTCCAGAGCTTCGTGCAGCACATTCAGAGATAGTTAACTAAGATGATGAGTGACAAACTGACCATAACTCCAGCGAAACGCTCCACAAGTGATTAAGCTCGAAATTTAACAGGGCATAAAGTACAATCACATCGACTTCAATAACTCCAGATACATCTCTCCGACCTGTTTTCGCCCCTCATTATCCCCTTGTATCCACTCCTCAGGCGGAAACAGGTCAAACATGCCCACTTTCATTAACAACGGGATCGCCGCTCTAAGAGCTGTCCTGAGCGTGTCCATTTTGACTTTGTCCCCAGCTGCATGTGCTTCGTTATACGCCCGGATATTGACCAGCATTGCTCTACGTTCATCGTCAATTCAGTCCAAATTCCGAAGCAATAAATTAGCGGGTTCGAAGGATCACTTGCCCTACTGTGCCTGTCTGCACTTTGCTGCCATCCGGTAGAGTCACTTCTGGCATCGCAGTACCAAGCGTTGACGAGTTCAAAGCGACAAGGCTAGCAGCTGATGAGTTGGACATGATGGTTTGAATTAGGTAGCATTTGAGGGTTCTGGAAGTAGTCAATGGTTATCTGAGGATATGAGGTTTGGTGGGGATGGTCGCCTTCTTGTATACCCGGTAGTTGAGGCTATGTCCGGAGGCTGTTCCCGGACATGAATGGGCCCTCCGCGGAATTGTCGGGATCTCCGAGCGTAAGCTCGGAGCTGGAGCTGGAGTTGTTTTTTGTACTGTACCAGAACAATTTAACGCTGTCTTGAGATAGTCCTAATAAGATAGCTACAAATTGTATCTCTCGAACTCCAGTAAAGCTCACTTCTTCAGAAATGCAGTGGCGGATTAGTCTCCGCAGGTTGCTACAATCTGACCCCAATGGTCATATTTCATTACAAATGATCCATCCCCTAAGTAATCCATAAGACCCCCTCATTTCGCAAAAACTTCACCTGCCTCGATAGTCTCGAAAGCGCTCATAGTATGATTCCACACCTTCTGCCTCAGTTCGTCCTTGTTGATCTTCTCATAGGACTTGGCGTTGTAGTTGGTATCGCAGTACTTGCCAAGAGAGTAAGCACCGCTTCCAAGCTCACCATCTGTTCCCACAGTAGTCTCCTCTTTGTTCTGTGCAGAAGTCGCCCCCCGTGGCGGATAACGAGACGACGCCAGGCTCAGCATCCTGTCACCACTCTCGGATGGTGGAACAGTCAGGAAAGGTGCGAAGAAGGGAACAAATATGTAACGCCACAGCACTCTGAACCAAGCAGGCAAGTCATGCTTCTCAAACCCGGGTCCCAACACGAGACCAGGGAAGATGTGTATCAGACTGAGCTTCCCACGATGTTGTTCTGCCAAGGTTTCCATGAAGCACACATGCATGTAAATCATATGTGAGCGAGCCGTAGAATAGTTATAGTTATCTAGATCGCGCAAAGAGAGGTCGTCGGGAAATAGCTTTTGCTCGTAACCAGCGGCAAAAACCGAAACGACTGTTGCAGGGAGAGTGGATTTGAGTAGCAATGGAAGGAGCTTTGTTATCGCTCTCATGCGAGAGTAGTACATCAAGGACATCGTGACGTCGATACCTTCTTTCGTGTCTGCGAATTTGTCAGAAATGCAGATATAACCAATAATTTCGAACGCACCTTTCCGTGGCTGGTATATAGGCCCTCCCTGACTTAGCATGAGATAGTCGATCCTTGGGTCTTGTTGCTCCTTTTCTTCCATCTGAATAATCTCTTCGCAGACGCGATTTACATTTTGAATCAGCGAGATATCTTCAGTCTGCAAGAATCTGATCTGGGCTTTGGGGCATATGCCACGACATTCTGCAATAATCTCTTCGGCGGCTTTGATATTTCTGCCAACAATATATGCACGAAAGCCCTTACCACCATTGGCTTCCGCTGTGGCCAATGCACGCAAGGTATAGTGACCAATGCCTGAGGTACCACCAAAGAAGACAGCAACCAAAGGCTGGCGCTGAACTAGAGCAGTGTTCGTGGCACGTACGTCGTCTAATCCGACCATGTTAGATAGATACCGTAATGAATGTTATGAACATGAGTATTGAATTTGAGGCAGGGCAGTGAGGTCCGGAGGGTCTCATATATGAGGGGAAGGGAACCACTTTGCACGGACTTTAGGGGCTTATCGGGGATAGGAGTTTCATATCAGTTAATATCCGATGCATGTTCTCTCGTGGACAAGCAATGAGCGAAAGGGAGAGCTTGAAAGGGTGCTCGATCCCGGTACTATAGACCGTACCACGTACAAATTGCCGAATAAGGGCTAGCGTGTCGATGATCCACGGGTCACTGCTCACGTATTACTCTCTTGCCTTCTCCACGCCAACTTCTCACCTCAAGAGCTATGGTATCTAATTCAGCCGGTTCTCGAATTTCCCTGGGCCACGCGGCGCCTTAAGCCTTCATGTCATTACTAAACATACTATTATAGCAGCCCTGCAAGAGAAGATCCATCGTTCTATCATCGCATTATCTGTCCACTACTGATCCCCGGATCATTGGTCCGTTTCTATTAGATCGACTCAGTCTAATAGCACCGCGGCTCATGCCCCAAAGGCGCTACCACAATAAGAGCCGACATGGCTGTTCGCAGTGTAAGAATAATCGCACAAAGGTTAGTTACGTGGCTCCGTGCGTGTCCCGTGCTTATCGTAAGTAGTGCGACGAAGATAGACCCCAATGTGGCCGATGCAGAAGGATAGGTTCGGCTTGCTCGTTGGCTACTCAGCCAGCGAATCTGGTATTCGTGGCACCCAGAAATGAAATGCCTTCAAATCAAGCCAGAGACGACTCATCTCGTATCAATCACCGATCATCTAGCATTTCTGACGGATATAGCAGCCATTCTCCTAGCGATTTGATTTCTGCTGCAGCTTCCACACCTGGTACGGAACGCTCTGACATGGAATGTGACTTTACGGATACAGAAAAGGAACGGCTGAGGTTAATGAATCATTACGCTTTACACACATCAAGAAGTATCACGGACGTCATCATACCACGAGACCAACACCAATCGTTATGGGGAGAGTGGGTTACTGAGCTGGCTTTCAAACATAATTTTCTGTTGCACGGCCTTTTGGGATTGAGTGCCTTACACTTGGCTCTTAAGGGTGTTTCACCGCAAAGACACACGGTCATCGCTATCCGCCATCATGATCTCGGTGTCGCAATGTTTCGGTCGTACCTTTCTAACATCACACCCGAAAATCATGATGCTGTTTTTGCATTCTCATGCGTCGTCAGCCTCTATACTTTTGGGATCCAGCGTCCCTCTGAGCCTACAGAAGACCCTATAGACAGGCTTCACCAGGTCTTCTCTCTAATTCGAGGATCATCCTTTCTCGTCAAATCTGATCACGATACCATGGTACGTAGTCGTTGGTCCGTCTTGATGTTGCCACATCCGTTTCCACCGACGGTGCTTTCATCTGAGCTTGAGGATGTGCTAAGCAAACTCCTTTCACGCGCTGCAATGGCGCCCGAAGCCGCTCGCATGGGTATATATGAACCGACCATAAAAACTCTGAGACACAGCCTTGCAATGTCAATTATGTATCGCCGCATAAAAATGACATTCTCATATTTTGCTGTTATTTGCCCTCCAGAGTTCTGGTCAATGGTGCGCATTGGCGAGCCCTTGGCTCTGTCCATTCTAGCCAACTACGCAGTCACTCTCGACTGGCTGCGGAGCAACATATGGATGGCATACTGGGGGAGAGAAATAGTTGTTGCCGTTCGTAAGGCATTGCCGCTAGACTGGCACGAATGTATTGCCTGGGCTGTCCAAGAAATGGAACGCCCATCTGAATCAGATGGACTCGGGCGTTACTCAGCATCAATATCAGATTCACTGCAAGAGAACGATCAGATTACCACCTCATTGGCATTATAAGTTGCGCGCGGTATCACCTTCGTTAAAAGGATTTCTAGGAGAGTCCTTTCACGGTTCCCAAATTCTAACTATCTATTTTTTGCTCCACGTAGAGCGCCTCCCCATATGAGCTGATGTCGTACCCGTTCTCTTCCAAATACGCCTTGAACCTGGCATCCTCGGTTTCCAGCTCTCGCGACATATCCGGGATCAGGAACCACGCTATCAACGCGCCAACCATACAGAAAGCCGACCCTATCAGGAAGACGGCTTGTTGACCTTTTTCGGTAGATGAGAACGAGTCCTGAATGGGCGTAAATACTTCAGTCCCGATTGATGCGCCCGCCTTTCCTACTGCAGCGGCCAGACCAAGGAAGTGACCACGAAGAGGGGTGGGGAATGACTCTGCGGCGCACAGAAAGGTCGACACACCGGGGCCCATCTCACCCAGGGCGTTGAAAATGCCGTACATAACGACGAACAACGGGAATACTGACTGTATCGGGCGAAGAGCGCCGCCCAATATGAAGCCCCATATACCCCAGAGCACGAAGCCGAGAGTCATGTTCTGCTTCCTTCCAATTTTATCCATCAGGAGCCCTCCCAGTAGGCAGCCTGGGAGATAGAAGCAATTAACAACCGTCTGGTGGACCATATCAGCATCTCGATTTTAGGACATCCGGCTGCTTTTTTTACGTACTCCGTAACCAATATTTTCCACTGTTGTATTGTTTGGGCTGAGTTGAGAGATGATGGTGGAAGTGAAAAGTCCAAACGGATACGTGACAAAGTCGTAGCAGAACCAAGCGAGAGCTAAGATATCAGGGCGGCTGATGCAATTATATCCAGGAACAAAACTTACAGGTTCCCAGTATCGGTTTCCAATACCTCCGAAGGACAAGCCAATATGGGTATCGCGACTTGATAGCGTGCTTGCGATATTGCTTCGAATTGATCATGCGAATCCGAAAGAAACACATGAAAACAGGGATCTGTCACAATTTTCAATACATCACTTCGTGCTGAGGGTTCTTAGAGCATACCACAAAACCAAGCCCAAAACAGACTCTCCAAACCCCACTTTTGACATCCTGGTGGAAGCAAGCGAGAACAATGAGGGCCACAATACCGGCGGCCACGAAGCCCTAAGCATAGTTCTATTTGAGTTACATAAAACCCACTCCGATGATTGAGACACGTACCATATCCACAGCAAAATCTGTGGTTGACGCGACCAGAAATCCTCTCTTCTTCCGAAGATTGGCGGTCTCATCAGCCGCCTCAGTTGCGCTGGTTGCGCAGACAGGATACTCGCCACCAGCTCCGAAGCCAGCGATACCGCGAGCAACAATCATCATCCAAAACATTCTGATCAGAAAGTCAAAACATCTGGTTGATACTTCGTTCAATTGAAGCGAGTCTTACCCCAACTCCGAGGTACCGTGTGCTGCAGCAGACAAGATGATACCAAGCACCAAGAACAAGGTAGTAGCCACCACTCCTGTCCGTCTTCCTACTCGGTCAATTAAAGCACCGAAGAAGAGCATACCAAAGATCTCTCCAATAAGAAAGGAATTGGATAGTCTGGTTTTGATGTTTGAGGACATGGTATTTTTATACCTAATGCCAATGAATGCGTCAACAGATAGCCCTAAGCTACGGGGCTCCTGAAGGGAACTAACAAGACAGAGAACAAAGGCTCCATGTAGCCGACTTTGCGGGAACTGAGATTAGTGATTTTTCTTATGCAAGCTGGGCATGGCATGCTAAGCACAGGCTTCGCTAAAGGTGAACTCACTGATCTGAGCATTATAGCCATCACTGAAGAGTCCTAGTCCCGAGACGACGACGTTCAAAACACCTGATGAGGCCCGTAACTCACCATCTTCGATAGAATTGGTGTCGTCTTGCTTCATTATCTCGCCCTGGTGGCTATGCTTCATGGTGGTTTCAACCCGTTCGGTCGCGGAGCAATTGGTTGCAACAGCCATAATAGAAGATGCCAATGTGTCGACTGTAGAGGTATGTCCATTTGGCAAAAGAAACGACTGCACATTCGTGGGCTATAGTCTGCCCTTAACTTGTCCGTTGCATTCTCACTACATCTACTTCAGTGCAGCTAATAGTTCTCTGGGCAACAATAGACTCCTCGAGAACGTGCCATGCTATCCAATAGCAGCCGGCATGGCTCGCACGAGATACATAGTGTTGCATCGCTGTTGGCAGACGAACCCACCTTTCGTACAACAGGCGGAGAGTTTCTGGCGAGGTCTATCTAATGTAACAGAAAGAACAAACTATACCCAGTCCAGGCAGGGCCCTGGCGGGGATCTCCGCCTCGCTTAAGCAAGCAGGCCCGTAGTCCGGCGGGGCTTATCAGGACGGCCCGCGCCCTATGATAGCGCCTCGTCCCGGGCACATGGGCATTTTATCGCGTCCTGAGTGGTTCTATGCCTCGAGATACCTTCAAGGATCAGCCTGTCTCGTGCCTGGCCTCTGCGCAACCCCTCGCTGATACTTCTGCCTTGTGCTCCGACATTCCCCACTCTGGAACACGGACCTCGCACCGGCCCGGCATAGTGACATATGAAGGTCAGCAGCTGGAAGTAACGTTCACGAGCAAGGAGGCTCGCATTAGAGGATTTATGGGTGCGATGGCCCCAATCTCGGTCGGGGAAAAGGACATGTGCTCTCTGCAGTTTGAACCAAAGTTTTAGTCCAATCATACTAAGGCTGGTATCATGGATAACAGCTATTACCCATTAACGGAGGAACAACTCCAGTTCTACGAGGAGAAAGGATACTTGCTCATTCATGGCTTCTTTAATGTTCCTGAGACCAAAGTCCTACAACAGTGGACTCAGGAAGTTCACGACCTCCCAAGGACCCCAGATGCCTCTTATATGCCCTATGAGGTGAGACCCAAGTGTCTTCCTTTTTAGCAGCGGGCTGACGAACTTATCCCGGCTGCAGGAAGTCAATGCCGAAGGCAAAAGGGTCCTCTGCCGCACAGAGAACTATGCCAATTCCCATGCTGGCTTCGATAGTTTTCTGCGTGGTGAGCGCATCTTGAGCGTTCTCCGTCAGCTCGCTACTGAGGACATGATTCTTTTCAAGGAGAAGATCAACTACAAACTCGCTGGTAGTGGTAAGAAATCTACATCTGCTGCACTTGGCAGAGGAGCAGCTAATACGAAGCAGGTGGCTTCTCTCCTCATATCGACGCCAATGCATACACCCACGTCAAGGAAATTTAGCACCTGACGGTGCTTGCTGCTGTTGACGAGATGACCTCAGAGAATGGTGGACTTGACGTGGTCGACGGCAGTCACCTTATGGAGGTACCGCTTGGAGAGGACCGCTGCATTGAGCCTGGCTGGGTCAAGAGCCAAACATGGACGCCTTGCAATCTACAACCGGGTATGTTTGTCCTGATAAAACCGTAATTCAAAAAATTAACCATCAGTTTACTCAGGTGACATTCTCGTTTTTGGCTCCTACCTTGCCCACAAGAGTGGCGCCAACACCAGCTCCAAGGACCGACGCGCAATTTACGCCACATACAACCGCTTGGCTGAGGGTGACCTGCACGATCAGTACTATGAGGATCGCCGCAAGCTGTGGCCTGCCACGCACATGCGGAAAGAGGGAGAGACGTATGAGGAGGGCAGAATGCGGTATGGCTACGGCTCCCCGATGCTGACGGTCGAGGGTCAACAGCCGGTACTTGCGTAGCGTAAATTTAGGGTGCAATGTTTATGAATGAATAGCTTGTTGAGAACGGGCAAAGAAAAGATTTGGAAGGAAGGAGTCGATAGACTGGTGTTCTACAATGCAAGTCTATACCATGTAGTAAACCATGTAGATCAAACGATTGTTCACCACATAGCAACAGCTATAATTAATTAGTTCACGCAACCAAGAAATCCCAAAAATTTCAAGATAGACTTTATATTCATAAACAGATTCGGCTTTTCATAATGAGCCAAATAAAAGCGAAAGCACGTGGGTTCATGAAACCAGCAGAAAATCGCTCCTATAAAACCCCTCTCCCCCTGGTCACTCATCCCACATCCACATCATTTCCCCCCCTTCAGAGCAAACCACCTCCACACACCTCCCCCCTGCCCAACTCCTCAGAATGATCCCCCAAACACCCCTCGAAAAAGCCACCTACCTCGTAACCTCCCTTGAAGAATACGGACAAGGCGACTACATCGGCGAATCCATCAGCCAGCTCGAACACTGTCTACAAGCCGCGCACCAAGCCCAGAATTCAGGTACGAAAAGAGCCACTCCACACCATTATTCGAAGACCAAACCATCACTACAAGAAAAGAAACCGACTGGACTGATAAGATCCACTTCTTCCAGGCGCATCCCCCGAACTAATCCTCGCCGCCCTCCTCCACGACATCGGCCAGATCATCCCCCTCTCATCCACGAAGGAAGTCCGGATGAACCTGAAATCCAACAACGATAACAAAAGTACCGAGAATGTCGGCCGCATGGGCCACGAGACTATCGGAGCGGAATACCTTCGTTCACTGGGTTTCAGTGAGAAGGTTTGTCGGTTAGTCGAGAGTCATGTTCCTGCGAAGCGGTACGTTTCCTTCACTTCATCACAACTCCCACTCCTGCTCTCTACGACTATGCTCAAAGCGTCAAGCTGATAAGAAGATAAATGAGTGTGGTAGATATCTCACCGCCACAGACAAAGCATACTACGAGACGTTATCATCTGCTTCGAAGAAATCACTCGAGTTCCAAGGCGGGCCATTCAAGGGCGCAGAGTTAGAGGCCTTCGAGAGGGATCCGTTGCGCGATGGGATGGTCAAGTTGAGGCTTTGGGATGATGCGGCGAAGGTGCAGGGGATTGAGGAGAGTACGCCGAGGGCGGGGGAGTATCGGGATTTGATTCGGGTGCATTTGGAGGGGGTTTTGTTAGGGTAGATGCTCAGGTTTTTGATGATTTATGGTAAGGAAGGATTGTTAGGGCTAGAATGAAAGGCATAGTGTATAATGGCGATGACTACAGTGAGAAATATCTGGGAGAGGTGTCTATCCTGTGATTAAAGTTATAATTCTCAACTTCTGAGAAGCGTGGCTGTATCCTAAAGTAGGATTAGCATGCAAACATACAAGCTTCAACCCCTCGACACAAGTCAATAACCAAGCAGTACGAGATAAAGAGCCTTTCCAGTGTATCCATTTATGCATGCAGTGGAAAAATGAAATATTATAATTAAACCCCATTTCCATAAACAACGCTTTGTCGCAAAAAGAAAAGCGCCCTGCAGGACGGTGGGAAGTAGTCCGAGCGGAAGAAAAAAAGATGCATTGTCGGGGAGTCGAACCCCGGCCACTCGCTTGGAAGGCGAGTATCATAACCGTTAGACTAACAATGCTTGTTGTTATAAATGATGTCTATTCTATATTGATATTCCATAGTTGCAAATGTGTATTCAATGTCAATATCCTATGAAATAGAATAGCAAACACCACACTCAGTACTACTAAATTCGACAGATGCCAGTCAAAAGGGTAAAATATCGCTTTTTGCAAGGCTTGATTTGTTTAGTGCCATCAGGGACACGAAGCTGAACCGATCGGTTCCTCTCTTACGTCGGACGGCCGTGGTAGAGGGCAGTAGCTGCTGTATACTGCTTTAGGTGGCATAGCTTCGCAGTCGACGACATGCAACTGTTTGCTTTCTAACAGAGATAGTGCGATGCGGATAATTTCCTTGCCAAATCAAGTGGTTCGTTACATCGCTGAATATGAGGGTAGTGAGGGCCGATCGATAAACTACTACCTGCGTGGACATCGAGCAGTCTGCGAGAAGCTTCCTGCTACAATGGCCAAGATTGACAAAGTATTTACGGAGCAGCCATTCCACAGAGACAGGTCATAACGAATCGGTCATATCGACGTAGATCATAAACGTACAGAGAAACGCGTTTGATCGATAACAGCCACTCGACACACTCTAAACATCATGTGCCAGTCAAAGACTTGGTGTATTCCAGACCAACTTCTAGATATCATTTGACCATCAACAGTGTAACCAGACGCCATAAACACGCACACCCAGACCCATGGATTTTGCACCAGAACCCAACACCCACAACCGCACCGAAGAATTGCCAAAAAAGAAAGGGTAAAGTCAAAGCGCAGGTAGCAAAGAAGAGAAAATACGCGGGACTATGCACATATTATACCCCGGCAGCAACAATAGGCAAAAAGTAGAAATGAAGAAAAGGATATCTGAAAAGGCTCAAGAGCGCGGAGAAGAAAAGAAGTATACCTGCGCCGGTGAGGCGTTTATTTCACCCGCGTGGGACTTCCAGCACTGCCAACGCGGCCGCTAGCCTTCCGAACCTTCGTCTCACTCCTGGTGTCTGTTGCACGCCTGGGGCTCGTCCGAACCTTTGTTACTGCAATCGCTCCACTGCCACTCTTGGTGCTGACAGGAGTCTTCGGTGCTGCATACGCGGCAGAATCGCCCCAATTCTCTCGATCATCGTCATTCAGGGTGTAGCTAGCGGTTACCGTAGCAGAGTAACTAACGGACCGCTGACTGGGGGATGCGACAGGGGATCTGGAGGAACGCTTCGCCAACATACGCAATTGGATCTCCTCTTCACTCTCGCTGCTGTCGTTGCTGAGACGGTGGTGTCTGTGGCTGGTCTGTTCGGAATTCTTATTGCCATCCTTGTCGACAACCAAGCTTCCAGATGTGGTACGGGCATAGGGGTGATGGCGGGAGTCTTTTCTGTGTGACTTGCGAGGCTGTCCGGGAGTGGGTGCGGGGAGGTACTCTTCCGCTGGGGCCCCAGCTCCTTCGTTGTGGTCGATTTCCCCAAGAGCAGCACGCTTAGAATGGCCGTTGTTCGGCGGCGTGGCGACAGGTCCGTTGGCCCGCTGTCTGGTAGATGGCCGTCCAGGAGTGATGGGAGCAGCCTGCATCTGAGCCAGCTTCTCCTTCATCGAGTCCTCGTACCACCACTCGCGGAAAGAGCCCTGGTTGAGGTGTAGCCAGTGCTGTTGAGGACCGACTACCATGCCTGGTCGCATGAATCTCATGAAAGCAATGATCTCGTTGGCAGTAAATCCGTATCTGTAGATGAGGTACGCGCCGATTAAACACCCAGTCCGTCCCAGACCGGCCTTGCAGTGAACAGCAATGCCCTTCTTCTTAGAGATCGTCTCGTGTGCCATTTTGATGAAGCGACGGACAAGTGGCAGGGGAGGGCAGGTTCCGTCTTCAAAGATCATATCAACATGGGTGATGCCCAGAGCCGTGAAGTAGGACGGAGAGTACAACTCGGAGTTCAGTCTCACAACAAGGCCGATGTTACGGGATGAGAAGTGCGCCAGAACGTTTTTGAAAGGAAGAGGTAGCTTTGAAGAAAGGACTTCAGAGACGGTGGATGGAAGCGCTGCGAACTCGGGCGTGTTTTGAGGGATTGGCGCAATCGGTTGGTGTTGCGGCGAGGCGAAAGCGAGGAACTGCGGGGTGATCCAGTTGAAATCACCCATGTCAACACGCTCAAACTTTTCGTATCTAGAGAAGATGTCAGTAGAGTCAATAAGAGCCAATTGGTATTATACATACTCTTCAAGACTAAAGTCCCTGAGGCTACAGAGCGACTGCTCCTTAGCTTTCCACACACCATAGACGACATCCTGGATGTTTAGGATGAAATCTGCCTGACTATAGCCTGCGTCACGGAATGGCATGTACGGAGGATCGGCTTGCGCAATTGGTGCCAGAGCGAGGTGCGGGGGCCAGGCCTGGATCAGGACCATGTAGCAGGCAACCAGGCAAGCAGCATTAGCACGGCTTCGTGCATCCGTCTTAGAGTAGAACACCACTGCACGATCACGGTTTTCAGGCTCCCCAAGAATCTCGTGGAACTGGACCGCGAACCGATACAAGTGACCGATGTGTAGAGGGCCGAAATCGGCATGGAATGAGTTGTACAATAAGACATCATCTACTGTGAAATAGACGGGACTGCGCTTCTTGCTAGGAGTGCTAGGCTGAGCCCTCGCAGAGCGCTTGGACGGTGATCTCGGCTGCTCTAGGGGATAAGGAAATGGGGTTCGTGCATCGGGAGGGTTATCGTAGGAGGCGAGGTAGAGACGATCTGTTTTGCCCGAACATTTAGCAAGCTGCACATAAACACTTCCACTGACGATGTAGTTTCCAGCTGTTGCTGATCCAACATGCTCATGGGCGATGGCAGGAAGCTAACGAACCTTGAATATATTCAATCACTTGCCCATAACCACTGTTGGTAGCCATCTTGACTTGGGCGATGCGACAATCAAAACAATAGTCGCTAATGGGGGCAACGTGTAGTCCGAGGAATGAGGGAAGGAGATACTTGACAAGATGAACCTGTCAAGAGATGCAATGCTGCAACTGAGAGGAGTCGAGGAGCTCTGTCGATTGATAGAAAAGTAAACAAAATAACAGTTCTGGACTAAATGCTCATGATCTGATCTGTTGGCGCTCCTAAACAAAAGGTGATGCGAATAAGACACGGGTGCCGATAGGGTAAGGATAGCACGAGGAAGTCCAGGGGAGGAGGAGGAAGATATACACGAGCCCGGACAGGGAGCGGTAGAGGCTGGAGACCGACAGTGCGGAGCGTGAGGGGAAGAGAGAGGAGAGGAAGTGAGGGAAAAGTTGGCCGCACGAGAAGAAGATAGGCTCGAGGCCGATGAGTCTGCTTTGGGGGGCAACTGCGATGCACGCTCAGTGGCTGCTGTTATGTTGTGATTCCCCTGATCCGGCCTAGCGGCCGCCGTTGACAGGACAACGTCTGGTGCCTCAGGCTGCCGTAGCTCCGGGTGATGTCCCTGACCGTCACGGGACTGTCATCTTAGTCAGCTTCTGCTGCCTCCCCACAGGCAAACCGATCAAACAAACGGTCCGCCACACCCGTCCTCACCAGCCACAAACATTTGCACCCCTAACCATGTGACAGCCCGTGACCTTTGTTTGTTTTGCGGCCATTGTTGTTGGTATCAGGACGGTTGTCGCATCAACTTGGTCCCCTCATCAGTATGAAGGTCTCACAGTCCGGATTGTTTCTTCAGCCAGCCCTCCCTTAAACTTTTCTCTGTCATTCCTGCTGTGTTCATTGCTGCAATTGTGACCAGGATTTACTTCACCTGTCTGAAGCTTGTCGTGTCGATATATATATATATATATATATATAATGGACCACATATGTCTTCAACAATACGCCACGATGGTACTAACAGACGAAAACTTCACAAAATCGCGCAGCACTGATATAAGTGATTCTGATAATGGGCTAGAAATATAGATACAGCAGCTACTATTGAAAGAGAGCTACGCAAAATTGGGGATGACGAAATACAGACAATTCTGTTTGCTCGTTTGATTGCAAAGGCTGCAGTTCCCGCTGACCCTTTTGAGTTCAGGTTACCTGTTGATCCTTCCACATTAACACCTCACTTGGCTCAGTCTAGTGTTGCTTACCCCTACCACTACACACATACTCCGCCCACATCAGCACGTCGCAGAGGGAAAAAGTCACTGGTGTGGACTTGGTCATTCGAAACTTCCTAAGACTCTGACGTCACCCATCGTGCACCTCAAGCCAAGCCGTCCTGTACCTGACTAGTAACTCTCTAACAGGACTAATGGAGTACTTCATCAACCAGGACATACGATCACTCCCTGAAAAAGCTTTGCTCGGTACTGGACGAAGGGCCCTTCCGACCGTGGTCAGGTACCGGAGGTGCTTGCCGATGGATACTTTCGTCTGAATCTCGTGTCGATGATGGGGTCATTGAGTTACCGCGAACACGAATGATGTATGGTATGGGCAGTCTCAAAAATGATATTTTGTGGGGAGGCTATACTCGGTTAGCGTATGGGTGGTTAGCAAGCCGATTGCGGTTGGAATCTGCGCCTTATCGTTATGCTGATCGCTCTGCCCAACAACGGTTCTCGAAAATGTAGTGGGTGGATCGGATCGACAGGGATGGAGGTACGTACCTGGCAACCTGGCAAGCAGACAGCGGCTGGCTTTTCTGCGAACCTAAATCACTTGCACACCATCACCTTGCCATTGCTGGTATTGATTTCGTCGCGCCGCCGTGTTCAAACTCCTTTTTGCTTAATTACACAAAAAAGGACTACGCGTTTAATAGTAAACTGCTCAGAGAGTTGCTCCTATCGAAAGCTTCCCTTCGACTGGGACCAGGATTTTGATTACTTCGCCGAGCTAACAGCTGACTATAAGCCTTTGAAACTTCGGGGTCAATGATCACCATGCTGAACAGAACAGGAATATACAGGATAAGGTTCCGCGGGGTTTCTGGGCGAGCCCCACGCTGCCCACGGAGGTTTGATGAGGTACAGACATTAACCTCCGCAGTGCTGCCAATGCAACAGTCTTGACCATCATCGGCAATCGCATTCAAAGTGGAGCACCATTTAACATTTCACTATTGAAACCCTATCCCACGGTAGGAGAAAGGGACAGAGGTCAATTCATACCCGCCCACCTCAAGCACTATCGATTCTTGTCTGAAATTTGGTCATGGCATACTACGATGTAAGAGACAAATAATCACCAACACTTTTCAGCACCATAATATGCACCTATGAACGGATACCGTCTGCATCGTCAATACTGCATGAATGAGTATGGTTCTATATGCGACGTAAACCCATATGGTCAGAGCAGGCTGGCATCAACTTTGCCTGCTATCTTCTTGATAGCTTGCGGGCTTGGATTAAGCTCATCGGATGAATGGCGTTCTACCATCCCATCTGAAACGACGGAGTGGTGTCATTGGATCTCGATGTCGATCCTCATTCATGCGAGCTCCTAAGGTGCCCGATTCGATGGATATGGAAGTCAGCTTCATTGCCAACTTCCCCTGAATCAAAGCCCAGCACGAAATTTCTTCCAGTGTTGTCTATTTAATGGAGTGTCCTCCCAGTTGCTGTCCTTTCTCTTCCCAAGCACTTCGCTCACTATCAGTCGTTCTCTAAATCTCCAAACCCTCATTCGCTCCTTAACAGCAACTACAATACAAATACACTCACTATCTTTCTTTATCCTATTCCTCAAGTCAACAATACATCACAATGAAGTTCACTGGAATTGCTGCTCTTGCCCTCGCTGGCAGTGTTTCTGCCGCCGCTATCCCGGTTGTGGATACTACCGTCCAGTCCACTCTTAGCCAGCTGACCGGCGTTCTCGGAAAAGTCGACAATGTTGTCGGTGGCCTTGTTGGCTGCGCTACCACCGACCTCACTGATCTGAAAGACGGTATGCTATCTACGGCCGTGAAGGTTTGCTAGGGAGACCCACTAAGATGAAATATATAGAACTTTCCACCATCGAAGGCAAGCTGACCCAGCTGCTCCCTTCCAACAAGCGTGACCTTACCGGCACTGTCGGTGGCGTTGCTACGCCTGTGGTCGGAATCGCTGGTGATGCCGCTGGCACCGTTAAGGGTGTTGCTAGCGGTGCTGTTAACACTGTTGGAAACGTTGCTGGTGGAGCCGTCAACACTGTCGAAGGAGTTGCTTCTCCTGTTGTCAAGACAGTTGGTGGTGCTGTCGACTCGGTCGCCTCCCCTGTTGTCAACGCGGCTGGTGGAGCCGTCGGCACTGTCAAGGGAGCAGCCAGCGGTGTTGTCTCTAGTGGTATGTACAATTGTCCAGATAGATGTCCAATAGCTAAGATTATACCAGCTGTTAACCTGAAGCGCGACATCACTGACCTTTCTGGTCTTTCTGAGACCCTTGTCGCCAAGATCCAGAGCGGTAAGTGAAATCCTGAGTATGAGTGGTAAAGGTAAGCATACTGACTCTTCCAAGGTGACCTGACCGCCGGCGCTCTTGAGAAGGTCCTGGACCTCCTCAGCCAGAACGGTAAGTTGATCTAAGGAAATCTCGAAGGAAACATCGCTGACAATGGCCTAGGAGGTCTTGCCAACCTTCAGTCCGTCCTTTCCCTTGTGTAAAGGATGACCCGTTCAAACAATTTCTGCCTTCTCCCACGACCTACACTTCTATGTTCAGTGATGCGTCATGGAAACCTTCGACCGGGGAAACCTTAACGAAGTCATGACTTTGTGGGAGAGCGGTTCTGTTGTACATTCGAGCGTATCTTCTCTGTTGGCCGAGGAGAGCAGCCTTGGGAGACTTCCGCCTGCCGTATATATACTTTGATACCAGAATAATTGTAATGTCTTGAAGCCACACTCATTCTGCTGCCTCGTAATCGATGAAGGAAAGTAAACAGATGATTATAAATAGCATGGATAAAATTGCTCGATGATTAACCCACTGTTTCTGATCCCTCCAAATTATATTGGCAATGGCGTAACCTGGCTACTCAGAACAAATGTTCCGTACTGAACTATAATACAGTGGCTGAAATGCTTTGCAATACTTCGTGCGAGAAATAATAGGCTGGCAGACGTCGCCAGGCCATATTATGATAACACTCGTTGTAGCCTGAGGCCGCAATGCTTACTCATGCCTTATCGCACATCCCACTCTTTCCCCGCCTCAATATCAATCTTTCTCCCCAGCGTTGCGCTCTTTAATACACGAATTCGAGTTGCTGTTGCATTGAACTCACTTGAACCTCTTACTCTCTTAGAAAGACATACGCATATCACCATGGCATCTAACGGAATCCCCTCCGAATTCCCCTACACCCTGTAAGAAGAGCCAAACTCCCCTTGGGCATATCACCTCAACACCACTAACCAACAACGAATCCCAACAGAACAATCTCTCTCCCTCTCCCTACCAACCGCCTGGCGTCCGCCGCCCTGCGCACCCTCGAGGTTGACACCGAGCTCTCCCCCTTCGTGAAGCGCAGTTTCGCCCTGACAACGCCGATGAAAGAGCAAACCGCCGACGAAGAGGCCAAAACTGTGCTGGAGACGACCTACTGCGCGACGACGAATCGCATGCTGCGTGTCTCTGTGAATGGCTTTATGGAAAACCTGGCAGTGGTGCTTGGAGTGATGGAAGAACTGGACGTGGATGTTCTAGATGCGGATGATGAGAAATGATGGGTCTGTCTTAGTGCAGATGGAGACTGGAAAAGCAAATGCGAGGTTTACTGTGCTACGTTATGCTACACGCTACCAGGGGCATTTCATGAGGGTTAGATGTGCCCGATTATTGGGTCGATCAAGACTATATCGGTATTTTGCCGCTGGCCATGATCGTTCGGACGGAACACGGATACCGGATGTTCCTCGCGGTGCAGACAAGCCGCGTCCGGGGAGTTGTGGATGGGTGATATGCGTACCGTGGATGGAGCCAACCACCAACGTACCTGTGTGTGTGTGGTGTGGGTTTGTTCGGTGATGGGGCTTGATTTTGAATTGAGTCAGGAGTGTGTATAGCGGGTTGGGTCATATGTGGATAGCGTGGAATGTGGTCTGCCGCATTGTACGGTGTGAGGGTCTAGAATGAATATATCACTAATGCTGTGTCTTCTCATAATGAAGTCTGGCAAGGGTAACGGATAGATACGAAGATTATACGGTGCCCCAGTCCCTAAAAGAGCCAATGCCACTAAGCTCCAATAGCCGTGCATGATGACCATGCCTTAATTTAAAACCCCAGAACTCACAATATATTGTATCCACCTTGAGTCTCAAGTATTTGGAATTCCTAAATGAACCACCAGTGCACTGATCAAAACACCCAATATCATCCGATCACTAATCAATTATTCCATTGTGCATAATGCATAATAACCCTGCATCCTCAACCAACCACAATCGCCATAAATGCAACCAAACCCAAAGCAGCAAAAGCGCCGGTGGCGCTATAACGGGAATTTACACGTGCAACAAACCCCAAGCCACTTTTTGGCCCGAAACCGTATCGATCGACCCGCAATCATTCAGGCCATTTTCTGCTAATGATGACATCGATACTGGTTCGGGTTCCGGAATCTCTTGTTCCCGATCCATCTGGTTCCATTTCCCCCCTCTCTCTCGTTGCTGTTCCTCTTTGGGATTTGCGCCTGCGACGATTATTGACTGCCGGACCCCCTCTTCTCTGCTCTTCTCTTCTTAGTCGCTGATGCGTTTGTCATCGATCATCCCATTCACTGATTTATCATCCTCAAGGTCGAGACTCACCTCATCAACTACATATCTACTTGCGCATTCCCTGGTACCAGTCCGATTTATCAGAACTACTGCTCCTACTGGTCCATATCACCTTGCGACATCACTGCGATCAAGCCACCGGAACATTTTTCCTTTCCAGCGCATTCACTCTCCACCATCGCTTTCGTCAAGTTCACCAAGACTACTGTCAACCATGTCTTCTGCGACTACCTTCTACGACTTTGAGCCTGTCGACAGTACGTTGTTCACCCTCCTTTACTTCCTTTAACCCCCACCCCCAACTTCATACGAAACTAACCACCCCTCCTCGCTCAACAGAAAAGGGCTCCCCCTTCCCCCTCACTGACCTCAAAGGCAAAGTCGTCCTCGTCGTCAACACCGCCTCCAAGTGCGGCTTCACGCCTCAGTTCCAAGGCCTGGAGAAGCTCTACCAGGACATCAAGTCTAAGCACCCGGAAGACTTCACCATCATCGGATTCCCCTGCAACCAGTTCGGAAGCCAGGACCCCGGAACCGACGACGAAATTCAGTCGTTCTGCCAGATCAACTACGGAGTGACATTCCCTGTGCTGGGCAAGTTGGACGTGAATGGCGACAAGGCCGCGCCGGTGTGGACATGGATGAAGGAGCAGCAGCCCGGTCTGTTGGGTCTGAAGCGCATCAAGTGGAACTTTGAGAAGTTCCTGATTTCGGCTGAAGGAAAGGTTGTGGGTCGCTGGGCTAGTTTGACCAAGCCCGAGTCGTTGGAGGAGCCGATTCTGAAGGAGATTGAGAAGGCGAAGAAGGAGGGCACGTTGGCTTCGTTGAAGAAGGAGGAGGCGACGGCTTAAGAGTGTGATATCATATTTATCTTATATTTGTGTGAGAGGACGGGTGTTTGGTTGGGATGATACCATGCAGCAGTAGCTGCTGCTGCTGTCTTTTATACTATACTGAGTATTATATAATGGCTGTTACGCTACGCTAGGCGATTGGTGTTGCGAAACGAAACGCTTCAACTGCCATGTTCTGAACAGTGTCGTTATATTTCATATCAGTTCATATGCTAATTTAATTCTCCGTGTTTCAAATCATGCTGCAGCGCTACCCTTGGGGATCAAATTGCGCAAAGAGAGATCGTAAACCACATCCTCCACCTTCTTGACCTGTACCACCGCACCGCATTAGTATCCCTTAATCCACAACTCCACAGATCAAAACTTACACTGTATTTAATCCCATCACTCCTCTTCCGCAGAATATCATTCTTCAGATTCAACAATTGGAATCCCGCAAACAGATCCTTGATGAAATTGCCAATCTGCACTGGCCGTGTGTAGTCACCGAGAGTGACCGAGTTGACAGCCAGACGGGCCTGTCACATCTTCTATTAGCAAAAAAATGCATTCCAATAGCAGACCAATATCCGGGGATGGGGTGACTGACCAACTCCTCAACCATAGAAATCAGCGCAAGCAGATACTCCTCAATTGTGAGATGGAAGGCATCCTGTTCTTTGAGATTCACGGGGACTGAAAGATTATCATTAGAATGAAGTTCACACTCTGAATTTCTCAAAGATAGGAGATAGACAGAGAGAACGTACCACCCAGGAACTTCCCAACCTCTTCAATCGTGAGGAACGAAGAAGAGCTGTTCGTCTTGTACTCTTCCAGTCCGCCTAGCCAAGCGCAGAGCTCGATGGATGAGACCTGTTGGTTGGTTGGCCATTAGCTGCGTTACTCACCATCTACAATAGAAAGAAGAACAACTCACAAGATTCTGCAACTCGCGCGTCCACACACCATTGTACTTGTAAAACGGGTGCTTGTCTGCCACGGTCTTCAACCGAGATACTTCATCCCTCTGGGCGATGATTTCCTTAGTTGCGTCATCGAGGACGGGTTTCACTGTTCTTATTAGCTATATCCCTTGAATACCCCTTCAGATAGATGGAGAAAAGAGTGTTACATACACTGATCAGTGGGTGTAGAATGAGCCCGCGACAGAATAGCCTGGGTTGATCTGCCTATCCAGAATATCAGCCAAGCGAATTCCTCAGATTGAGGATTCCCCCCATGCGATATTTGAGAGAAAACGAAATAGAGGAATAAATACCCTTCCTAGCCAGCGTCTGCACAATATCATGAAGTTCCTGTACATTTCGTTAGCACAACGGCACTTTGCTTTCGGGTTTGTTTCTGCGCTTGGCGCGGGCACGGGTCAACTTACATCGCGGACCGCAGCCTCCTCGTCAATCTTGGCCTGCAGGTCTTCGAAGATATTGTGATCGATCATCTTGATTTTTTGTCTATTATCTGATGTGTTGTGGTGAGTGATACTAAATTGATTGGGATTCGTGTTGCGGGAGAGATGTTGATGAATGTTACGTCAGGGAAACAAAGCTGAAAAGAGAAATTGTGGGGCAGGTTTTCTGCCGCTTTGGCTTGGGTTTTATATCACGGCGGATGACTACCAGTAGAGAAGATGGGTGAATAGGTTACTGCAGAAGAGTAGTTTAGCTTCACTAAAGGGTACTGAGAATGTTAATGAATTTTATCATGTTTATATTTTACTATTAGTAGCGCCCTTCACAGGTTCAACTTAACTGCAATGCCACTACGAAAGCAAATTACACCCCACCATACAGCTTCTCCTAAATACAAGCAACAGTCACTAGTGATAGAGAACATCATATTCATCTTAATTCTAACCTAACGAGCCTCTAAGAAAGCCCACACATTCATAAGTCATAGCAAAACTCAAACAAAACCAACCCCACAACAAGCACGACAATCAGTAGCGGTACCTGGTCGAGTAATCTACAGCAGAAATCATGCATCAGCCAAACCATCCAGCCAGTACCAAAACCAACTCAAGAAAATAGATAGACTTACCCTTCGGACTAACAACCAGACCACGTCCCTTCTTCGCACCCTTGTAAATTGTCTCAATGATATCGATCATCTCCTGCTTGTCTTCAAGCACCCAGTTCAACTTGTTGTTGTTACCCGTGCCAAAATCACACATCATGTGTTTATTCCGGTAGAAGAACATGATGGTCATCGGGTCAAAGAGTTCGTACATCGTGTTGAACTCGGGTACCTCGTCGATGTCGCAGAGGTAGATGACAGCGAAGTCTGGTTGGGCAGTTAGTCACTGAGATTTCCTTTTATTTTTTCTTTTATTTTTTTCCTCTTTCGAAGAAAGTGGTATGGGAAAGAGAAATGGATTAAGAATTTCTTGACGTACTCTTCACTCGTTCGGCGATCTTGAAAAGGACTTCATCCTGACGCATGCCTACAATTCACTGTATTAGCACTGTCTTGTTCTGATAAAGAGAGAGTCGTGATGTCCTACAGTCAACATCGTGATCGCGACCGAATCGGATGACCTATACAGATTTGATTAGTATCATCTGCTATGGTCGGGGACCAAGCTTGACTTGGTGATATGTATACGCACCACAAGTCTGTCCTCCTCGGAGAGAATAGCCTGGTCGACGTGCCAGGCCGTACGCAGATGCGGGAGAACGACGGAACCCATGATAATGACTTATGGCCCTTTAACGCTATGTATAGCACTTCTAGTTGGTGTTATCGAGAGGAAATCGTTGGTGTTCTTGCAACTTGCAAGTGATGTAGTTGATAGAGATCACGTGGATGAGGGGGTAGCAGCGAAGAAGTTGCTTTGCTTGCTACTTCTCGAAGTTTCGGATGAGGCTTCTAACCAAATGCTCTATATGTTACAAGTCATTGGGATACTATATATAAATTTTATAATTGAAGTATTTACTGCATCGCACTTTCTTCTCCAACCAGTCGGACAAGCCGACCAAATTGATGAAAAAAGGGTTGTTCGCGTCGATCGGGGATAGTGTAAGCCCGATGACACTGTGCAGCAAGACATGCGCAAGCACAGAGGTCTCGCCACGGGGTGCAAAAATAAGATTAATCAATGTTGTGTTCCTTAGAACACTTTCAGAGATTAAACTGAAAAGAACAGATACTACACTTGATCTAAGCCAAAAGGCAAAGAGAGCTGGAGAAGAAAAGAAAAAAATTCTAAAAGACGGAGGGCGCGAGAGGTTTATATAGAATTTGCCAAGTGGCCCGTGCGCAACACACCGGCTAGTGCCGTTGAGGTGGCCAACAAGCGAGAACTACCACCATGACTAAGACAGCTCTCATTGGACCAGCCATTCACTCAGTCAGATGATAAAAAGCTGCCCTAATCAGCGGACTGAAAGCCCTATCCACATACCGAAAACGGATTAGTGACACGCACTTGTCCGACTCGAGCATCTCCATCGACCTTCGACAATTTCTCTCCCCAAGGCGCAGGATATACACCTCTTTGCGACCAGCTAATCCCTCTTTCTATCCCCTCAAAAAAACCCCCTCCCATCCGTCACAATGGCCCCCGTTGCTGTACGTTTCCTTCCTTGAAACCGCTTTGCTGTTCTCCCCGAATGGGTCCATGTTCATGAAGATGTATTATCTGCGTTGAAAATACCAGATAAAATATTTTTTCATGGAATAAACCTCGGGGATCCGACATTATGGAACAGTAGGCTAATCATTATTTTTTCTCGGACAATAGGCCCGTGGTCGCAAGGCCCAGAAGGTCACCAAGAAGGTATGTGCTTATCGCAATCGCAAGAAAATATTTTACAGTTAACTAACTATGCATTTTTTAATAGTATGTCATCAACGCTTCTCAGCCCGTGAGCGACAAGATCTTCGACCTCTCTGCTTTCGAGAAGTTCCTCCACGACCGCATCAAGGTCGAGGGCCGTGTCGGCAACCTCGGTGACAAGGTCGTCATCTCCCAGGTTGGTGACGGCAAGGTCGAGGTTGTTGCTCACATCCCCTTCTCTGGCCGCTACCTGAAGTACCTGTATGTTCCTCTCACCTCCCTGAAATAGTACCAACAGTGCAAAGTTTGTGCTAACCTGCATTTTTCAACAGCACCAAGAAGTACCTCAAGAAGCAGCAGCTCCGTGACTGGCTCCGTGTCGTCTCCACCTCCAAGGGTGTCTACGAGCTCCGCTTCTACAACGTCGTCAACGACGAGGGCGAGGAGGATGAGGAGTAAATTACTCCTTCCGGAATGACAACAACCAAAAAAATTCCAAAAATGACCGGATGACAAGTGTGCTCGCGTCAGGGGGTTGCCAATAACTGGGAGCGATATCTGAATTGAGGGTTATCACTTGGATGTCTGGTTTGGGTATAGATGTGTTCTACAAGGAGGGATTCCTATACCGCTTTGGCGATGACTGGTGGTTGGCTCGGAGATGTTTGTTCCTGAAAAGGTGGACGCTCTGTTGCTGCTCTGGCTCGTTATGGCTACCTCTACTCATGACGTTATGACTGGTAGATACATGATTGAATAGAGCAATCTATCACTCGAACCTAATTATGTTCTGTTGTAAATTACGTAGTTGCATGGTGTACAATTTTGAGTACGTATAAAATGGGTATCACTAGAAGTAATCAATGGCGTCGATAGCTGTGCCTTCAATCTCCTAACGCCGAGCTGCTCCGCTTTTGGCCCGCTCCTGATCCAAGCCTTCCATGTGCAGCCGCAGCTTCCGCATCGGCGCCTGGTGGAGGCACAAGCTGGTCGTTATGTATGCGCCAGCCTTTAGACTTGAGAACCTTCCATGTCTCCGCTGCCTTGACCCTCACCAGATCGCCCGTGGCGATCGAGTCTTCCTTGGAGTCATGGCCGCTGCTGCCTCCAGTTTGGATGTCTCGATCTAGATGTCTCCGGCATAGAGTCTTCAAGCTCATACGGAGAGGTAAGCCCCGGGGATGTGGGTATAATAGAACAGTGTCAATGATCGTCGGATGAATGATGCGGCAGGCATTGAGGTCATTGTCGATCGCATGACCAATGAGTGGCGTATCTGGTTGAAGACATTCAAATAGCAGCGCCCGGGCTGCAGCAGGCGACTCGACAATCTGCAATGGAGGCGAATCTACTTCCCCGTCATCCAACGGTAAATTCGCTTGAGAGCCAGAGCTGCCATAGGGAATGGCCTTCGTGTAGTGCTCTGGGAAAACACCAGAAAATCGCGAATTCAGGTCCAAGACTTCACCGATGGGTCTGACCAAGACATCCAAGAGTGTCTTGCCTTGCGGCCAGCTAACAGCGGTCAACCGAATCAGCTCCAATCCTAGGGTTGTGTAGCCCATTTCACAGTCGAAGCAGACTGGCGGCAGCCGTCCTTTGGCAGATTGTTTCGGGGTTTTCTGGAACTGGAGTACTGAGGCGAGTCGTTTGGTTTCCGATACCTTGAAGACATGGGTCTTGCCCTTGGTACAGCCAGCAGAAGTCCCTACCGACTCGTTGCAGCAAGAGAAGTACGCATCTTTGTGCCCTGTAATATGATCGGTCTTCTTCTTGGGCGGATAGAGAGGTTTACCCGGGTGATATGTGCACTGTCCTCCCGTCGTCAAAGTTCCATCTTCCCGGCGACCAGGAAAGACTTGAAATCTTCCTCCACATCGATCGCACTTTTCCCATCCTTTGGATTCAATAACACCTTTCCTGGCACCTTCCACTTCGGCGTCCGTTGGAGGCTTAGTAACGTAGCCGTATTGCTCGAGACCCTCCAGTCGTGTCACAAGCTTGCCCGCCAATGCTATCTCCTCCTGTGGACTAAGCCCAGTGTCAAGAGGTTTCGGCTTTGACTGCTCTGGCCCGGGCGCAATCTTGTAATACCGCTCATTGAGATGGGCTTTCACGTCATTGGCCCAGTCTTCCTTGCTCATTTTCGACAGCTTTACTATGCGGAGCTTGATGACATTGGAGTATATGCTTGGGTTTTCTTTCGCGGTCTTTTCCTCTTCATCCAAGGCCATTGTTATAAGCTCATTTGGCGTAAGGACCAGATATCTGTCCTGGCTCTCTTTGTCTTTGGCCAACTTGTCATTTAGAGCAGACATACCGGCATGCAGCTTTGTGAGGATAGCCAAACGCACACCATGCGGGGCAGGTGCTTTCGTTAGCATCCGAGGGTTCAGGCTTTCTCGTGGTGCTTGCCTTGGTGGGAGAGGTTTTCGAGAGCCGGGTGCGCTTGTTTTTGCTGATGAAGATGTTGGCTTTGCCGGAGGCGTGACTTCCCTGGATAAAGACTGGAGTTTGACATTGGTTTGTCCATTGGTCTGGAATGGCTTGTTCGATGAAGTTGTTGGCACAGGACCTTGACTGGAAGCTGCTTTAGAAGGCAACGACGCTGCCTTGTCTTTTAACTTGGCAATTTTCTCTTCACCCGGGGCTTGTACTTTAGATTTCACGGCTGTTTCGCCAGACGTAAGTCCCGGGTCGCCCTGGGCTGCCGTTGGTACATCGGTGCTCTGACGGGCTCCTTGGGGGGCTGATTTGGAGGCGACGTCTCGGTGAGAGAAGATGCAGGTTAAGAGCAAGCAATTTTGCCCCTCAGGACAAGGTATGTCCTTGAATAGACCGAGTGGTGCAAACATTGTGATTGTAGGCTAGCAAAAGTTTCCCAGTAAAGAAACAAAAGTCAGGTGTAGATGAAGAAAGGAGTATATAGCTGGTATACAAGATTTCACTCATGCCTTGCGTTGCTTCGCAGCACGTACTAAACATACAGACGAACTGAAAGAATTGCTTGGAGCTGTGTATTAGCCACGATGTCGGTTACAGACCCGATACGGCTCAGAAAGCTTATAAGACTGTATTATATGAGCTTCGAGCACATCTGTTTCATCCAGAGACTATGCTTGCCATGGGCAGTTAATCAGCCACTGTCGTGAGGACAAAGATTTGAGGGTACCGCAGTGCCTTTTCGCTAAAACCAGTTCAGATCTGAGATAAATTTATTGGGCTATTCGGCTAGGAAAAAGCTTTGACGATTCGGTTGTGGAACAAGGAGGAGATCCTCCTGGAGTTAAGCTAGGTTCGGGATTTGAAGCTGAAGCCGAAGCTGAAGCCGAAGCTGAAGCGGCGGATCGGGATGCGGTCATGCAAACCATGCAAACAAGCACCTGCAGCTGCACGATTGCCCATCGGCCTCACCAGTCAATGTAAGAGGGTTAGGCTCTCTGAATACCAACATTATTTGTGTACACAATACTCCGTAATGGAGAAATCTAAAAGATGGATAGGTGATGACTTCAGCAGGGCGGGGACCGTCCAGAACAGGCATCCATCCGATGACGTTTCCTTATCGTGGCTTAGTAAGGGGCCAATGGTGTACAGGCTGACAGCAGCCAGCAGATACTCAGCCTCCAACCTCAGGATTTGGCCGTGAGTCAATGGAGTATTTAAGAGGATGTTGAATGATCTGGCTACAATTACTCCGTATAGCCTAGCAGCACGTTGACACTAGCTTCGACACAAATCACAGCCAACTATGGAGCTCGATAACGGCCACCCGCCGACTGAGACGTCGCGGAATGCCGACCACCTTTGTGTATTCGTACATGGGTTAGCTCTCAGTCCCCGAACTTCCTGCTGAAACTAGCTGACATAGATTCTCATGGTAGACTATGGGGAAACCCTTCCCACCTGGACTATGTCACCTCATCGCTGAGGGAACGATACAGCGAAGACCGTCTCCATATTCTTTCGGCGAAGCGGAACGCCGGCAACTTTACCTACGATGGCATCGAGGTCGGTGGTGAGCGCGTGGCACATGAGGTTGAAGAAGCATTGGAGGAGTTGGCAGCAGCCGGGCATCATATTAAAAAGCTGAGCATGGTGGGATACTCGCTTGGAGGTCTTGTGGCTCGATATGCGCTGGGATTGTTGTATTCTCGGGGATGGCTCGATAAGCTTGAGCCAGTGAACTTCACCACGTTTGCGTCGCCGCATGTCGGCGTTCGGAACCCCCAGAAAGGAGCCTGGGGCTTTCTCTGGAACAACGTGGGGCCTCACACCATATCTATATCCGGCAAACAGCTGTTCATGATCGACACGTTTCGCGATTCGGGCAAGCCGCTGCTCAGCGTGCTAGCCGACCCGGATAGCATCTTCATAAAAGCCCTGAAGAAGTTCAGGCACCGTACTGTATATGCGAACGTTGTCAACGACCGGTCGACAATATACTATACCACGGCAATCTCGACGACCAACCCATTCCATGAGCCGGACAATGTCCGCATCAATTACGTGAAGGGCTATGATCCGGTCGTGATCGACTCTGATAGGCATATCCTACCGTCAGACAAGAAACGCATAGAATCACTTTCACTTGTTCCCCAAGCACAGCAACAACTTATGACATACCTCACAGAAGCCCCCTTCCAGCTTCTCTTCACCACCATCCTCTTCATCGGCTTTCCTATCTTCCTCATCAACTCCGCCATTCAAACCGTCCGCAGCCAACGACGAATCCGCCTTCATGAAGAAGGACCCATGGGAACCGTCTTCGGACGCTACCGAGTCCCGGTTGTCGTCCAAGGCGTGCAGCACGCAGTAGAAGAGGCATTCGAGCACGCCGCTGCCGACCAAGATCCGGATTACCTGGACGAGAGCAAAGACGAAACGAAACAAGTGGCATCCGCAAGGAGAGCCAGGTCAAGCGAAAGCAAGAGCAATGCGCTCATCCGCGAGGACAGCCCCGACAGCGCCTCTGAACCGCTACTCGCCCGCGAAAGCCAAGAACCTCAAGAGTTTCCAACCCTCGCATTGACACCGGATCAATTCGCCATCATCGAGTCACTGAACTCCGTGGGCTTCCGAAAGCACCCGGTCTACATTCATAATCACCGACACAGCCACGCAGCGATTATCGTCCGTATGCCCAAGCCGGGATTCGACGAAGGCAAAATAGTCATCAAGCACTGGCTCGATCAAGTTTTCGAGCTTTGACGATTGCCCGGCCGATATAGTTAGCTTACACGAACCCTCAGCTGCCCATGCAACACCACTTAATAGACTTTCCCCACTCACATCACCCCCCATCGCCTCACTGTACTCCGTCCTACACTATACAGAAGAAGAGACATACATAGACCCTAAACCAAATACAGCTCCCTAATATCAATGCACAAGCCATAACCGATCCTACCCGCTCCCCTGCCACACTATGTACATACTAGAGACGCAGTACTCCGTTCCGTATCGAACACACAGATCCCCCATATAGCCCCACATTCCCCCCTCCTCCCCAAAAGCATCCTCCCTTACTAGCGCAACACCACAAATAACAGTAGGTCCCAACTAGGCAAGTAAGTCGAGCATCCATCTACTCCGTAAACTAAGTACATCCAGTACAGATAAACTTCCCTCCAATTACCCACCCACACACACACACACCCCCACCTGACAGCCACCACCACATGTCCATAAGCACGGAGTACGTACTCCGTAACTCATTCATGCCATGTCAATCATCATGTACCCCAGACCCGAACCCCGAACCCAGCGGAAGCAGAGATGCATTACCCACAACTACGTATCAGACATATTATGCAATGCAGCATATCCTGCAAATAACCGCATGGCATGCTAAAAAAGAAGGAAAGGGATGGAATAAGAAAATACCCCCACTCGCGCTCGGAATTATTCCCTTCTGTCCTTCCCCCGCATTTCTCCTTACTTACTTTCTTACATCTGACGTCTGCCGTGCAGCTAGCTAGCTAGGTAACTAACTAGCTACCTTATGCACGGATGGGATACTATAACTATATTATCTTGTAGTATTAGAGGGGAGAGCGGAGTGCTGGGGAGGGGGAGGGGGGTATACTACTAACCAGTAACCACACAAGTAAGGAAAGTTAACTAACCTTATTCGGGATGTTTAATGTGGTTAGGTGGTAGTATGGGGCGTGTAAGTTATCGGAGTTGCCTTATTGGGATGTTCCGTGAGATTTGTGTGGAAGTTTGCAGTGCCGGTTTCGGCTTGTGGTGGGATGGGATTGGATTGTGAACGAATACTATTAGACTGACTGGGTTGGGATTGCGTTGTTACACAAGTATTTGATTTGAGTATGGTGTTTTCTTGGGTTGGATAGGTATTGGGGGAGGTAGTGGATAGGCCGAGGTGGTAGGATTCAATGGGTAGGGTGGATGTGGTGAGTGGGTACTTGAGTATTTCTTTACCCATTCTATTGTAGAGGACTGATACAGGGGACGAGGGGGGTTGTATCCATGTTTTCGTTATGCTACTTTCGGGTTTACGGCAAATGCTTACTATTAGTAATCTAATGGGTTGAGGTGCTGCTAGAGGAAGAAGTAGGTAGTAATCTGTATGATGAAACTCCTAAGAATAGTAAAAGTGTAGTAGAAGATGAATATAGTAAACCCAATGCTCAAAAAAAATACATATCTGTCATACATTCATAGCATAGAGGTATCCATAAAAAAAAGTAATAGTAAACAAGAATGATAGGAATCTACATGCACCACAACTGTATCATCCAACTACCATCAGTAGAAAAGAGAATCAGTTGGGCAGAAGGCCCGCTTCTAGCTCAAGTTCCGAGTCAACATCGTCAACCAAAGCCGACCCGTCTTTCTTCTCTTTGGCCATCTCGCGGTCAATGGCAAATTTGACCGCGTCTAGGATATGGTTGCAAGTCTTCTTGGGTGGATAGCGAGGGATAGTGCCCTCTTGGTACACACCGGTCTTGACCAGGATGGAGAACCAGTCGGCGTCACTGGTCTCGTTGAACTCGTTCGTGCCTCTAATGTCTGACTCGGGGGTATCGCCCACAAAGTACACGGTGCTGGGTGGCTTGTTGATGGCATGGGTGTTCTTGCGCCATTGTCGCAACAACCGCGTAGCGAATTGGTATGTGCCGAGTTGGGGCTTGCCAAAGGCGATCGTGTTCAGCTCCTTGCCAGTGACAGCTTTGTACAGCGCCTCGAGGGAGGCTCGGAGAGCTCCCATGCCGATGCGGACATGTTCGTGGGAGGTGGACCAGACCACGTCGTTGTGGGAGAAATACACTGGCGGGCCCTCGTCAAAGGAGTCGGATCGGGTGTCTAGGTGGCCATTCTTGGACATTAGAACGTCGAGGATAATCTGCTGGTCACCGGCCCAGTCCCGACTATCAGCAAAGACAAATATAGCCTCGATCTTCGTCTTCGAGAAGTCTCGGACCCGGGAGTTCTTGTATTCTTCGTCGGTCAACTTCCGGAATGGTGTAGTGTCCTGTCTAGTCTTGATGATGTCTCCAGGGGTGATGACATCCTTGAAGCCGTAACCTTCGGCTACAATACGGCACTTCTCGCCCTCCCCACCAACGACAAGGACCGTGTGGTACCTTTCGGCCATCTCACGCATCGGGGTATGGCCGCAGATGAATTGGCCGGGTGAGACTTCGAGCTCAAGCTGTCGACTGAGATCAACGCATCGTTCCTCCTCTGTCTTGCCTCCACCGTTTGTGACAAAGATGTATGGACTGGTAGAGCAGTCAGCACATGGACTACCATTTAGAAAGGTGCACCGCTATAGTACGGTAGAGGGTATCGATACATACACTTTGATGCCATACGGATTCTCTCCATTGATATACCTGAGCGCGCTGGCAGCTTCAGGGATAGCCTTACCGCCTCTGATAAGGACTCCGTCAATATCAAAGGCCAAGGCAAAGTCATCGGCAGTGGTGAGGGCCTTCTTAGTCACAGGAGGAGCAACTCGAGGAGAGCCTTCTTCGGAGGAAACCTCTTCGTCAAAGTGCTGCTTGGCCGCTTCCAGTTCCATGGCTGTTTCATGGGAAATGGTAGAAGCCATCAAGTGTTTAGGAGGAACGACCACACTGGGACCGCCGTAGAGGTCGGCCTGGGATGCGTCCAGGCTCGACAACCGGCTTACCCGTGGGGTAGCATATCCGTCGGCTGTTGTCATTGTGGATAGTGGTAGTGGTGGATCTCGGGCGGGTGGCAACAATGGAAGAGTGGATCTTTTGTGGACCCAAGATATGAACAAGAATCGGTCAATGTGGAGGACAATCGACAACGACGTCAGTCGATCTTCAGGGGCAACGTCTTTCGGCTAACGCGAGGTCAAGTAAACCAAAAGGAAAGCAAGACGATCAATGAATCCAAGCAATGCACGTCAATTGGCGTTGCAAGGATGTACACTGATAAGACAATGTACTACACAGAAGATCAAGTTCCCAGGGGAATTGATTATGTGCAGCAAGCAACAGAAGAAAGAAGAAGTATGATACACCAGATGAAGGAGCCCAAAGTAAGAAATGGATACAGTGGAGAGTATAGAGGAGTCTGGAGAGATAGAGGGGCCACCTCTTGACAGACAATGGGATTCTAGAGCCATTATATAGGAGTCAACGAGCAAGCGGTGGAGGACGCCTAGCATATTCTCCCTTGGGTGATGCAGCCCGTGGCGCCGTCATCGACCGCGTCGGGACAACAAAAGACTCATTCTCACTGGTGAACTGGAAGTTTTGTTCTCAGTAACGGTTGCAGTTTCTGGTTGTTCGAACCCCACTTGCACCCAAAGTTACAACATAGTTGAATTGTTCCTATTTGATCATAGTGTCTAGTAGTGGTGCGTCTGAGAACTTAGTAGAAGCCAGTCAGCCATACATATCGAAGAAGAATCCTTGACCATATTAGATGATGATGGAGAGGCTGACACTGTGATTCGCTCCACGGGACGGTCAAGGCGCCAACCCGGCACCGGCAGTCAAAAGACACGCCCGAGAGGTACCGTGCAAAAGGAAAAACAAAAATAAAATAAAATAAAATAAAAAGGGAGGGGGGCTTGGAATGGGTGATTCAAAAACTTACTCGCCATCCATCCATCAAGAAAAACCGGATGAAACCCACTCGTTCGGCGAAAACGAGAATGGGTGAATTCGGATCCTCGATCAAGTTCGGGGACTGATATCATGGCACGGAAGCAAATGAGGAAGAGAGAAGAAGAGAGAGGAAGACGGCAGCGGGAGACATCTTGACATCAGTTACAATACCGGTTCGTTTACAGTTTACTCTCAACACCAATAATACATAATACAGCTATACTATACTATACTATACTATACCACTATACACCCTATCTATCCCTACAGTCGAGGAACTATAGTACAATGTAAGCGGTAATTGTGCAATTTGTATGCCCAAAACACACCCGATCCCCCCGGTCTTCATCAGCGCCAATGACGCCTCCTCGTGGCCTTACTTTCCAGCTATTCTACACTGTAACCTCCCCAAGCCATCGAGATCATTCCCGCCCTGAGCAATAAACCAGACTGGCAGGGATGGAGGGGAGGGGAAAAAGAAAAGAAAAAGGGAACGGACCGACTACCGAATGCACGAACCTACATTCATCCATCCTAGTCGTAGTCTCCTCAAGCCACCATCTGGGCGAAGGATCGTGGATGGATGTTACTTTCCGAGCCTCCTCTTTTGCCAGTCCGCTAACCAGTTATCTTGTGCTTCTCCAACGTGAGGTCACAGCCAACCATGATGCTCGAAGTGGCCCGGAATTCCCTACACCAAGAATAGTGCTGCCTCACTGCCTCAGTCATCCGCCAGGGGCTGATCACTGCTTCTGACGTCATGGCGGAGCTCTCCCGGCCGCCGTCTGTATCGTTACCGTATCAGCCATACACCCCTGCACTGAGAATAGTGGCAGAGAGTGGATTCACATGGAAAATCTGCCTTTGCGGTAAACTTGGAACTGTGATTGCCTTTTGACACTGCGGCCTAGTGGAAAGCATCATCCTAAGGCGCTATGTTTGGGAATGGCCTCTGCAGCCCTCCTGATTCGCTTGCGTGATTTTCTCTGCTGAGCTGACTGCAGCCTTATCTGACTCACAACACACCGGACGTGGATATCTCATCAGACATCTTTCTTTGAAATTAGTGGATGGGAGTCTCCCAAATGACAGATGAAATAGTGGGGCGAGGGTCGAAGCCCAGAGTCAGTCCGTAAGTATGTGCACAAGTATATTCGCTGCCTTTTCCAAAGCCCATATCTAGATCCACCCATAGTAGCCAATGCATATATACACTCATGAGAATAGAAATGAAACATCAATAGATCGCCTTGAAGAAGAGAAAGATACCTGGCTTCACCAAGTGAACAAATGTCATAGTATCATACAACAGAAAGGGAGAGACCGGACCCCAGAAGCATGTATATATATATATATGTATTGAATTGTGTCCACCGGAACAAAGTTCCACTCGTAGCCAAGGCCGAGAAATGGAGCACCCCTACCCCGTAGATTAGACGTATCCCGTCAATCCACGCGCAGTATTAGATCTGACCCGCTGCGGGATGGGGTTACATTTCGCTCGTACGGCACCGGCTTCCTCTTCGGCATGTGGCCCCTCACGCTTGCAACGGAGCGCAAAGAATCGGTGGACTGCCTGCGTGTTTGAGTCTCCAACACAGGCCCTGGATCATGACCAAGCCAGTAGTCTTCAGGTGAGTAAGGTGCACTTAATCCTCCGGCATGTGGCTTCCGCCGAATTTGGACTCGTTTGATATCGTCCCGTCGTACAATCCGCGGGCGAGAGACAATTTCTTGTCTGGGACTGACTGCCCGAGAGAATGGCATCCGGGGAAGACCGGGTTGGTCGCTCGAGACAAGCTCCCAGTTCGGTGTAGGAGATTCTCGCGTTGGCGTTCTGATTTCACGCACTGGCGTGAGTGGCCGTAGATTTCCCGAATGCCGGGATTCGCGGTCCAATCTGCTAGTCGAGCCGTTGATGTCGATGTCCTCAAAGTTGTCATCAAGGTTGTACAACATGATATTATTCATGTCCGTGCTACGGAACGGACCACTTGCAACACCCTGCGACGAGGGCGGTCCGACAAGTCTTACATGTCCCGCACCGCGCTGCTGCCGGTCCCGGTCGACAAATTCCCCAGCGTCCGAGATCGGAGAGCTTTGTAGCAGGCTTTCATAAGTGTCGTCTTGATTGGAGGCCTGAACCTTTGATGCGCTCTCCGCATAGGTAGGTCTCTTTCGGTAGTTCGGACCTCTCATCGCGAGTTTTCCATCCTGACCTTCCCCAAAACCGTGGAGCATCGCACGAGGATGCGCAGGCAATCCAGCCATAGGGGCCCGGTTGTACCGCCGACTATCTTGGGCTCGGCTTGACGAAGTCGGCTGATTTAGATTCTGGTATGGCGCACCAAAGGCGCTCCGGGGCCTTGTCATATCCTCTTCGAATAGAGTCGCATGGCTGTGGGGTCTGGGCTGTTTCTGACGACTTAGCCGTAATGGTTCCGGGTAAAGTCCCAACGTTGGCTTATCAGGAAGTAAATCTGAGATCGTCCTTGGAGACGACTGGCTCAATGATCCCTCGGCTTCAGAATTAGAAGTCAACGCAAAACCAATCCTGTCGGCACTATACACCCCCATGGGACTATCATTATGATGATTACCAGGGCCCGTGACGACAACTGCAGGTGTCTGAGCTCTCGGTTCAAACGGGGTTATCAGTCTAGAGGTTTCGGAATCCCTATCTGTTGTGCCGGGCATAGGACGAGGCCCAGTTGGCCGTCTTGGTGGGAATGTGAAATCCGGAGGCTCTGACATGACTCCTCCGATCTCGAAAAAGTGATCCTTCTCATCCTGTTTCCGACGCCTTACCTTCCTACAACAGAAAAATATGATAACACCAACAATAAAGAATCCCGATATTCCAGAAGCAACCGAAACTCCAATCACAGCAGCAGGTTCCAGCCTGCTGTCAGATGCGCTCGCGGATGCCGACTGGCCACTACTGGTAGCGCTACTCGTTGTCGTGGAGGGAAGTTGCGAAGTAGGAACCGTCAACGGACTTCGGAAAGTCTCAGTTATTACCGAGGTATGCTCCGTACTAAAACTTGTCGGTTGTGAGAACGTACTAGAGCTAGAGCCCGAACCAGTGTCGGAGGCCGAGCTGGAGCTGGAGGTAGATGGCACCGTTCCTGTCGTCGTTGTTGCAGTCTTTTGCGTGGGGCTTGATCCCGTTGGCATTACTGTCGCGGTGATCGTAGCATGTGTCCGTGGCAAAGCTCCAGGTACCGAGTCGCAAATGTCGTACAAGTCGGAGCTGAAGACTGTTTTCATGGAACATAAGGATAGACTACAGCGAAATGCCGCTTCCCCAAGTGTATAGCCGCTTGTGGTATTTGTCCGACAGAGACAGTCGAGATCCGCCTCCGAGCATGCATCCTTTGGGTAATCAGAGGATATGAATTGTTCCACGCAGTCTACCGCACAGCTTGGAATCAGACTGGACAAAGATGTTGCTGATGCGGTAGGATGAGTTGTCTGGGAACCATAGGCGAGGCATGTCAGCGTCAACAGTATTATCGTGAATGACCGTCCAGCAGGTAAAAACATCTTGTGAAAGCATCTTCGTTCTCGGTTAGCAGACTATCGCCGCCGGGTATAATGCAAGCCAAGGAGTCGCGAACGGGAGGTCACAGGGTCAAATAATTACCTATGCACATAAAAAGTGACGCTACAGAGGAATTCCAACCCCTGGAGTCATTGATAACCGTAGAATATCATCCTAGGATGACCAAGAAAGACAGAGCGCAAAGAATACTGAGATCTGGAAAAGTGATGATTTCCCCACGGCATGGAGAAGCACCAACTTCAAGACAACAGCGGTTGCGAGAAGGGGGGAAGGAGGGACTTCAGGGACCAAGACAATGTACCGCATACTGCCAGCATGGGCGTCAAACCACGTTTTGCCATGGCGCTGAGTGGCTGCGAAGAGAAAGAATCAAGGTTCGAGACCCAAATCAGGAGTCCGATCCTCCTATACGCGCCAGGGTGAAACATGGCAACACCGTCCCAAACAGAATACACGTAGCTGATGGACGCAGTTCTTCAGGAGGCCTGTCGCTTTGCATGATTGGATTTTGGGTAGACGATGGCGTTGAAATACGCGCCGTGATGGCGCCGACTCTGCCGATAAGAACAGCACATGATGTCAGATTGACTTGATCCGAGAGGTTCAAGGCGCAAACAATTGAATTGGGTCAGTCTCCTTAACCGCGCGCCTTCAGGTTGTTGTCGACCTGAAGACCCTGAGAGCAACCAGGCACAACTGAGATAGTGTAGATCCAGTCAAGACGTGTGGACACTGGGCTGAAGGTGAAACGGCGGCTAGTAAACAGACGCATCACGGGACTTGATGAATGGCCCGATCGGCACTCGTGTTTCCCCATACCCACTCGGCAATTTACAGGCTGCTTATGGCATAAGCAGCTACGAATCGAGCCCAGAATGTGGTTGATTAATAAGTTTGACATTGTCATCAATCATTAATCTGATCACTGCCAACTAAGAGAAAATGACAAAAGCAAAGCCCAGTGACAAAGTGGGCTGGTATCATGCGCAATACATAAGAACATAACAACCCAAGGAGATAAGAAACAAGGAAATGATAAAAAGGTACAATCGAGACCCTGTCAAAAACACACGTCGCACTGAGCATGCTGCACATCCACCCAATGACGGTGTTTATGTTGGCGGGGTTGCATTAGGCTAGACTCGTCGGGAGCCCGCGGAACAATACTAAGATGTTGACAACGTCACTCCGACCCGCTGGATTTTGAACATCCGATTCCGTAGGAGAAAAATCGTAGGTAGGACGAGGTTATTCCCCCTAATCGACGGGTTTTGAACCGAAGTGGGTGGTAAGGAGGGGCCTGAGGAGCGTTCTAGTATTTGAATATAATATAGCTGAACGAAAGGAGTTAGTCTCGGAATCTCCGGAAAACCATCACTTGGCGGACCACGTACAAGGCATGAATGACACCAGGAAGCCAACCCAGGATTGTCAAACAGATGTTGATCAGGAAATCAGCACCGCATCCTCGCTCAAGGAAGACACCCAGCGGGGGCAAGATGATCGCAAAGATGATCTTGCAGATATCCCTATGATCCCAAGGACGTTAGCACACTCAAAAATACTAAGCTCTCGTCATTCGAATAATTGCGATCGCAAGCTATCCCAAGACAGCTCCAGCTTGTCAAGGTCAAGTTATGCGCGCGTTTGTATAAGAAATCGCCAAAAGATGACGTCGCGAGGAGTTGCAAAACTTACGAGGCAGTGAAAGGCATTGTGAATGGAGGAAGACGTAGATCTCTTCAAGTCGACAAGGTTGATGCAGGAGAGAGTAGTAGTGAGCAGGTGATGGATATGACCAGATAGAAGCGGTATCTGAGTACAAGTAGATGAATGATGGAGAGTAACAAGAAAAATCAGGAGAGGAAGGGAGCGGGACCACAGGGACTCTTTAAATGATGGGCGGCAAAATTAAGTAGCTGCCCTCCGCCAAACGCTACGGGGGGATAGTGCTATGCCGCCTACGTAAAGCACAGTCCTCGAATCCGCATTTTTCAACGGATACGCCTTTAGGTAATAAAATAAAAGACCAATAGCTGCTAGCGATAATTATAATAACCGGGGCGGACGACAACGATAGTCAGGACGATCCTTTTCCGCTCGCCGTGCATGTCTACCTCTACGTCATACTTTTCAGTACGAACTGTGGCTGATGCCTTGGCTGCTTGCTGATTGGCTCCGAGCTCACCACGACCAGACTTCTCGGCGGGTGACTTTTGCGTCGTATTGACATTTTGTATTCTGTACCTCTCCCAGTCCCGTGGCTGATACTCCTCTAATTTTGGAACAGAACCATGCTGTCATCGGGCGGTGCAACTGGATTTATTCAACGGTAAGGGGAGAACTTTCGCTCTCATCTTCTCCCCTTTCCTCCCATCTCCTACCTTGTTTTGACTTTCTACTTTTTTCCTTCCTCCTTCCTTTGTCATAATTATTCTGTTGCCTGGCAGGGGCTTGGCGCTTCCACCGTACCACCTTACCAGGCTGAGGCGAGGCGCCAGTAGTTTAACTTAGACGCCGCCAATATTGACTAAATCGCTCTGTGCAGATGGTTCTAAAAGTCTGGGCTCTTGGTTCTGAGTGGGACGTACCAGCACACCATATTCCATACCTACTGCTTCTCTCGGACTAGATCTGGGCCCCTACGCAATCCCTTGTTCGAAATAGGGGTATGACTCCGTGTCTAGGAGGTTTTGGGAGACGGAAAGCAGCATGGATATGGTGGGCCATCCAGCCCTACGGTTCCTCTTGCGCGAATCACGGTGCCGGTTAGCTTTCAACAATGTTCGGACAGATGCCGCGTCCCCATTACGGTACTCGACTTTTGGAGGATTTAGACTAGCGTAGACTTATTTCCAGGGAAGAAAAAAAGTGATATCATTTGACACGCATCTATCCGTCAGCGCCTACGCTAGCTATGCAGATAATCACTGGATTAAAGCACGTTTCAGCCGGATTTTAGACGTCATGTGCTCGATAGTGAGATGTCTTATCGTTCGCATGTCGCGAATACATCATTGCGAATCAATCTTTCTACCATCATGAATTTGACAGAACGTACGCCCATATTGTATAATGTCTACGAGGATCCTGTTGATTATGACGGAGGCATCCCACTATGCCATATGTCCTAGCGGGAAAAAAATTCTGACTAACATAGTAGAAAGAACAGATCAATCTGCCTGTTGAGACGACGCAGTATCATGTGATTGGCATCGCCGCAGTCCAAGCCACACTGAGTCGTTTCTATCTTCTAGAACAGAACATCCTGGCCACCCCGCATATTTCAGCCAGCAGTATAATAAAACCACCGCCTAGCTATGATGGTGGGTCTCTCCAGGCTATACAATTCAAAGCTTATGATCAGCCCTATCTTGTAGAAGCATCTCGCCAGAGATATATTTAGATGCCAAGTGACCCGCAAGGCGCAGTAACATTTTCCTGGCACCTCCAGATTCAATGTGTGCCTAATTTTATGGAGTGCACAGTCAAGTTAGGGTATGTAGCCTAGTACTATCATGGGTAGTACCAAAGCCATAGTATAATGCTCTGTTGGTCGATAAACACTCTTACAGGAGCACTAGAGACCCTATCCTTAGACTCGGCCAATGGTACCGTCCCCTTGTCGGATACAATGCAGTTGGATGATGAAATACCGTCTCCCTCATACATGAAATACTTCCGTTGCAAGCAAGCAGATGGAAATCATGAAACAACGCGCAGGTGGAGCCTACAATATTCCTATTGCCTCTGTGGCCGTTCGTGACGAAGTGATGTTTCGACTCTTGACACCATAGTAGCAGAAAGCAGATTACTACTGCAATTCCCAGGACGGACATGGTGTTCTTGAAAAAGAGGTATGCCTCACTGAAGAGAAGCGAGTCAGAAGATATGAAAAAATCATGATCAGAATTACTGTGGAAGTATATATGGAAAAGGTATAAGAACAATTACATAGATACTATAGTATCCATACGATAACTCATATGACAAAGCTAGCTTGAAATCATTAGTTATAGAGTCTAGATCTAGCTATCTGTCATGTATATCTGTGAGATAGATAGTACGTAAGTAGCCTTATGAATATGATCCAGAAAATCATCACCAAGGACTGACCCTCTGTCTGTGATGAGCCAGAGATACTAGCAGTACTGCAATGGATAGCTAATGCCATATGGGCGACTAAAAGATCGAGATATACAATGTTGGAGGTAGGGATCTCCGTTTATGATCCAAATTATCACGGCTTGGCAGCTACTCCCGCAGTCTCCGCATTTCCCCATCACTGTCTCTTTATCTCGATGCTTTCTGCCAACTTGGGTATCGCGCACTTGCCGTATAAGCCACATCAAATAGATATCAGCTTTCGTAACTTGTATTTCTATGTCATATTCATTCAGTCACGTTCAATATAAAGTAATTCTTCTATCAGGACCATCGGACGGTGATTCGTGATCTAGTTGTCACTCGAGCGGAGACCTCCGATATCATCCAAAACAATGCTCAAGTATGGTAGCATTCAATACAAGAAAAAAAGCGAATGATTTATATTGTCCAGCGTGAAAGGTAGATATTATCTATCTAATCGAGCTGTATCTGTTTCACAACTGCTGCTTCATCACACTGAACTGGGTGGGGAAGCTGGTTATGGTGATGCGCGGCCGACGGGACAGCGCCAAGCCGCCATCACGTGATGACGCAGGTGGTCGGTCAGCCTCCCCGAAGCCTCCAGCGTGTTCGCCTTCACGCCTCCATCTCCGTTTCGCTTCCCCAAGCCTCAACATCACCACATCGCTTTACACGCGGCCTGTCCCTGCCCTGTCACTCTTCCTTTCGGCTGTTTTCATAGTTTCACTCCATCTTCTATAGCCCGCAAGGTCGCCTAATCTGTCAAGATGGCCACCGAACTTTGGTACGTAATCACCTCACCTACTCCTTTTCCCAGCATTCCGACCATTGTGCCCTCTTGTATCTCGATTTCGATCATGCTTCGGATGAGTTTCGATTGGATATACTGACATGTGGACATGATAGCCCCGTTTACGCAGTAAGTCACTTGTGATCCCACGCTCACCGATGACACCATCGGGCTCCAAGCGACCCTCAAGGTAGCTTGGCTTCGTTGCATCAAGCGGAGAATCCGCCATCGAACTGGCACCTCTCGCACAGATAACTGATCTCTTACCCGTATAGCCCTTCTTCGGTGCCCTTGGCTGCACCTCAGCCATCGTCTTCACCTGCTTCGGAGCTGCCTATGGAACTGCCAAGGCTGGTGTCGGTGTCTGTGGAATGGCCGTCCTCAGACCTGACCTGATCGTCAAGAGTACGTGGAAGCTTCACTGAGCTCTTATACCTCTGAGATTAGCTATCGCATATAATCTCTGATGATCAATACTAATCTGGTGATACAGACATTGTCCCCATTGTCATGGCGGGTATCATCGGTATCTACGGTCTGGTCGTGTCTGTCCTGATTGCAAACGACTTGGGACAGAAGGTCCCCTTGTACACTGGTTTCATTCAGCTGGGAGCAGGTCTCGCCGTCGGTTTGGCTGGTATGGCAGCTGGGTAAGCTTCTCACCATGGCACCTTGCAATATCGGTAACTTTAAACTAACAGAGTATCTTTAGTTTTGCCATTGGTATCGTTGGTGACGCAGGTGTTCGTGGAACTGCTCAACAGCCCCGTCTCTATGTCGGAATGATTTTGATTCTCATTTTCGCTGAAGTCTTGGGTGAGTCACTACATCAAAGCGAAACAACCAGTTCGCATCATCTAACCACGACGCCTCACAGGTCTGTACGGTCTTATCGTTGCTCTTCTGATGAACTCCCGTTCGAGGATCGACGCCACCTGCTAAACGAACCCTCCTTCGTTCCGCGCGAAATGGCCCAAGTGAACACCCGCCCGAGGATGCCAATCACCCACTATTCTCGGATACGACGAAAAGAGCCCGGGTTGCTCAACATGTGTTAATGTGATGCGGTTATTTTGACTTATGTTTTCAGACTTTATTTGCCGACAATGACGGGAACCGTCATTGTCCCGATGACAGCTGGAGGGGATGTGGAGGAAGTGGATTGCTAGGGGAATGGAAAGAGAAAACGGACGTTGAATAAACATATGCTTTCTCTTTCATCCAACACTCCCCGAAATAACAAAGGACAAGACATAATTGGATGTGCTAGCTAAGTTTGTAGACTAGGACAGGGTGGGAAGCTGTGGTAGATACATTGCATGGTTTTTTTCAAGGCCTTTGAGATTTTGTACTTTATGGGTGTCGCTTTACTCTTTTGTATCCTTGAGCTGGATCATAGGATTACTTGCTTTGCAATGCTTATATGTTTTCTCCTGCTAATTCATGGTCCTATGTTACAAACTTAGCTTTTACCTATCCTGGTTCTTCGGTATATCATGAATGCAACAAGTGGCGAATGTGCGATTACTCAACGTATAAGTATTACGACCTCGTACACTGTTACAAGACCAGCGCCGTTCACTCCAAGGAAACAAACTCAAGCAGTATTGATTCCATTGCACCTGACCTGCACAAGAGCAAGCCGGGCAGATAGCTAAGATAGCAATATGTAACATACAAAGTACTGTCTATTGAGCGGAATAAAATGCGGTGGACATCCAAATGTTCAAGAGAAATAAGAGGCGAGAAAAATACAAGACGACGCCGTAAGGATATATGCGATATAGGCAGGCATATCAGTAGCCACCGCCAAACACACACACATACATGCGGAGAGCAAAGCAATCAACGCAAAGCTTCAGATGCGTAAGTCTAGAGATGACTTCTCTGTGAAGCAGAGGAATGGAAAGAGGTAGCATGTAAGTATGTAAATAGATAAAAAAGGAAGATGGATAACAAGAGGAAGGTTTATTCGGATTGTAGCGTAGCGAAAAGAAAAATTATAGCTGCAAAGCAAATGGTAATGGTCTCTGATGATTGAAGATAATCAATCAAGCCTTCTCAAGCTTCCGTCTCAGGGTCCTTGTCCTCTTGCGCAGCTTCTTCAGCTTGTGCTTCTTCATCTTCAGTCTGCGACGTCTCTTGGTGCTAATGGCGTGCATGGTGCGGTTGTTGCGGATACGCTCCATGTAGGTGGTGCCGGAGTTGTGGGGGGCATCAATGATGGCCTCGCTCTCTCCAATGGCACCGGGAGCTTCCATCTCACCGGAGGGCACGAAGGGACCAGTGTGAGCCTCGTAGGTCTTGCGACCATCCGAGTGTATCGACTCGTGGATGGTCAGGACGGTGGAGTAGCTGGAGGTCTCCCGGGGGACGTCCTCGAACTCGGAGGAGGCCATGTTCTTCGCTTCGTCGAAGGGAACGGGCGGCGGAGGAGGGTGGAAGGGACGGAGACGCTTGGTGAGTTCCTCGACGGAGACTTTCAGATCGGAAAGGTTCATGCCATCCAGCTGGTTGCCTTCCATGTCGAAGTACTGCAGAGAGCCCTCCTGCTCGCCGGAGTGGGCAGTGGAGTTCTCCATGGAGTTGACGGCGGAGGAGAGGGTGAAGATGACATCGTCCACCTCAGGCTTAGCCGGCTTCTTTGCGGTGAAGATGGCGTCGAAGGCTTCGGGGGTCGAGGTCGGAGGAACGGTGGTGGAAACGGAGATGGGTCGGTGGATGGAAAAGAAGGAGGCGACGTGAACGTCTAGACCGCAGGAAGAAAGATTAGCGCATCATAATCTAGAGGTACACGAACGGTGGATAGGGATTGTGGCAACTAACCATGCGGCTGGAGGTGTTGGGTAGAGGGAACACTAGGAAGTCGGGAAAAAGCCGTCGGCTGCTTGGAGCCATTGCGGCCGTTGCTATCCTTGCCCCTCCGTCTGGAAGCCTTCCCCTCACGTTTCTCTGCAGAATTCACTCCCTTCGCAGGCGTCTGAGAGGAAGAATCGACTTTATTAGATCCATCGCTGGGTTTCGAGGACGAAGAGGAGTATCGGCGTTGACGCACATGTTGTGACGAGCCGATGAGGCCGTTCGCGGAGGTAGTAATACTTTGGCTGGTTGCGCGAGACATGCCGGCGATGGGCCCCATAGGAGCCCATGCAGCCCGGCGCAGTGAGGACGACAGCATTTTCCGACGTCGTAAAGCCCAGAAGCTGGGTGACGATGTTGTCGGGAATGAAGAGGCGAAATCGAAGTTGGAGCCGATCATGCGGAACTCGGCGATTATGTAAGTCATATGTCGCCTCAGGCATATGACCAGATCAGGTGACCTGGAATCGCATGACCTATCTTAAGGGTATCCTCGCCTGACTTTATCCACATGCCAACTCATGAACGGCCAAGGTCATCATGCAGAACTACCTATTGTCGCTAATAGAATTGGATACTACCAGCGAGCCTACTGATTGTGTAGTGATACGTACTACATTGCAGGAACTATGACACTATATTGATTTCGATTTGGGTATCTGTTCATTCCATGCTCACTTGAGCCGAACAATTACAACAAGGGCAGCTATACTTAGAAGAGTCTGAATGATCGGATACAGAAGATACAGCTCCCAGTTAGAGCTGCCAGAAGTGACACGAGCAAATGATAGGATGGGTGGGCGCTCATTATGTCAACGGAGAAGAAGAAAAGGAAAGATACATGGGAGGCGTCAAGGTCACACAAAGGTTCAGCTCAGGAGAATGGAAAAAGAGCTCGTTAGGTGGGATGAAAAGCGCAGACATGGACGCAAACAACATATGGTATATGGTATCAATCTGCATTATATAAGAAATGCACCCGTCGCTGAACCGGAGAAAACATATAAGCTTTTGAAAGGATTGAAAAGCCGAGACAAGAAGTCCACAAGGAGAAAGAAACGTACAGAAAGAGAAGGGATATAGTGAAGTGAATAAAAATAGTTGAAGGAAAGCAAGCGTGCTTTTACCGCTTGGCGTGTGCAGGGGAAGAATGGAAGTTGAGCATCGCTGACGCCTCGTACTCGCTCGTAAAAATTCAAATCGTTCCAAGTCTCACAGCCTTATAGTATGAGGGTGTGGAGATTCTTTTGAATAATCATGTCTTGTACCGAATCCATTGTTGCCTTCAACAACGTCGTATCGGTAGCATTCGTGTAATGGATATAGATTTCTCGGTCGGGAATCCGGTTAATGCCCCGGAATCGGTCTGCAAAGTATCTGGCTGCTGCATCGAAGTCCGTGTTGGAGCCATTGTAGTCAGGGAAATGGTTGGAGACAGGCGAAACATGAAGCTTTCCCTTGAACAGATCGATTTTGTTCAGGAACAAGATGATCGGTTTGCGCTTGAACCATTCGCCATTGACCAAGGACTCGAACAGCATCATTGCTTCATGCATTTGGTTCTGCACGATGGGGAACAACGGTTAGTTCAAGTGCTTCAAGGAGGCGATAGGGGAAAACGTACGGCATTCTGGTCCTCAACGAGACATTGGTCGTAACCAGATAGGGCAACCATGAATAGAAGGCATTGAACACCCTCGAAACAGTGAATCCACTTCTTTCGCTCAGATCGCTGTCCACCGACGTCCATCATTCGGAAGTTCATTTGACCGAGTTCAAAGAGAGTTTCAGTAATTCCGGTTGTCCGCAAACGAGCCTGCAACATGTCCTGGTTGTCGGGAAGCCACCCAGGAGTGAATATTCGATCAAGCGAATCAAAGAAGCTGAAAGGTTAGACGGCTTGCCTGCTTGTTCAAAAAGAAGGTTCCTAGGACTCACTAATGCAAGTTATCATGAAGAGCAAACTCGTGGCCTCGAGCAACAGCTTTTTGAACACCTGTATCATCCCACATCTCTCTGAGAGCGTCGCGAACCTTGAGATCTGAGAATGCCTCGTCTGAACCGACGTCTGGCTCAAGCTTGTCAACATATTCGGCTAACGGCTGATGAATGACGAACTGAATCAGCACACATACTGCCACAAACGGATCTTTGCTTGCGATGGAAAATCGCAAGACAACGGAGCAGATGAAGTTACCTTTGTCTTTTCAAGCTGGAAATCAATGTTTTCGGCGCGCATGATATCCAGTAGAACTTTGAAGGCGATAACAAGATTCGAGTAGATCACAGCTCGTGTTTGGCGTCGTTCATCCTCGGGGAAGCCGCCAGAATGTATAATTCGCATTTGTTTGATGATTGTCGACTTGCCCGATTCACCAGCACCTACATAAAATAGAATGCATCAGTACTCCTCGTCTCCTTGACTGCGAATGCGACGTGTCTCGTCTGGAAACTTACCAAGGAGGAGAATCTTGATTGTTCGGTCCATTACTTTCTTGTCATTTTTCAGAACCTTTTCTATCCTAGCGCTTCGTTGAACAGCGTCTTTATCCGCCGTGTCGACGGGTTTTGAACTCATGCAACCCATTTTGAAGATTGATGTGCTCTCACAAAGCGACTTTCGATGGTGTCTGGAAGTGAGTTAGTACTTGCTGATTATAGTGTGCGAAGTAACCAAGAATAGACGCAGCACAAGTAGAGTATGGCTGAATCAGGGATACGCCCAGACCCCGCAGTTAACCACACGGAAGGCTCTCTTTGAGACATGTGTGAAACGTCAACGAGAGAGACCCGAGGTCTCGAGCAATGAGAAAGAAGCGAGGAAGTAAATCAGCGGAACTTACTCAAGGCAGAATGCAATACCAAGCACTAGAACCAAGCCAATGTATTTTTGACTAAACCCGCCCGAATGGCGCAGATTAGAACATGTCGCTAGCTCAAATAACGTCAAGTTGAACGTTACTCGGTCACTGTACGTACGTCGCGGTATTCCCTATTCCAAAGCAAAATGTCCTGGTAGGATGGAAGCCGAAAGTGTGTTCCAATTCGACTGTCGCAAATTGTCCCCCGCTTTGTATGAGAACGATATCCAAGTTAATTGGCGAGCAGCGCAGCTGTCCGGAGCTTTCTGAAATCAGCGAGATATGGGATCGAATTAAGGAGTGTGACGACGAAGGTCCCTCGACAAGCTAGGTTGGGTGGTGGTTTAGACAGATGTTGAGTGAGACGGAGTCGATCGCGGAAGTGAGAGGCTTTCGGGAAGTTCGCACGACTTTAGAGATTGAAGTGCTGATGAACGGAGTATTGTCTTCCAAATTAAATGCTGGGGAAGAGTTCGCTAGGTATGCTGACTGCAGCCTCGAGGCGTTCCCCTTTTCGTGGGTGGTGGGCGAAGTTGCTGACCGCAGACGCTCAGGTGAGGGGAAAGATGGGAGGGAGGTAGGAATGGGGGAGGGAGATTAGTACATCTCCGCCGTATCGCAACCGAAGCAAGCAAAAGAGCGGAAGACCAGGGCGAGAAGCAAGAGATAGAGAGAGGAAGAGAAAAAGAAAGAGGAGAGAGAGAGAGAGAAGGACAGTCTGGGAGACTCGCAGGTCTATAGTAGTAGTAATAATAATAGTAGTAGTTTAGTTTATTTAGCAGTGAGCAGAGGGAAGGAGGAGGAGTAAGTGGTGGGAATGTTGGTCGCGGAGTCGTCGCGCAATTCGTTCGATAATCCATCAAGTCCGATCGAAGTGGGCCACGGTGCCAGCAGAGTTGAGCTGCTAGTAGGTTTAGTCCGGCTTAGTTCCCCTTCGGCGTAGTCATCCTTCTGGGGACCTTCGGCTGTGAGTGGCCCTGACACCGGAGCCTGTATTACCCGTGAAAACCGTGTGAAAGATTTCCGGCGTCGCATTGGGCCCCGTTCTGGGAATCTAGAAAGGGACTAGTCCGCTGTGGCTACCGTCCCCTAAGGGCCTTAGCCGTAAGCCCTTGGCTTCTTAGTGTCGTTTAGTTCCGTGATAGCATCCCGGCTGCGAGCTCCCTGTACAAAGTAGACGGCCTGGCCCTGATCTCACTGGTTGTAGACGAACAATGCCGACCCACCCCGGAACTCCATTCAACTGTGGATGAATGGCTCCATTCATTCTTCGTCCGCTCTTAGCCTGGTTCGAGCCGATTGGAAATGGAGTGCATTAAGGTCCAATGCTTCTTACCGCCCGTAAGCTACTAGTCAGTAAGTAATAATCTTGCGAGTTATGGGTGGCACAACGCGTTATAATACCAAAACGATATTAGTACCCGGTATATACGTGGTTTAGTACGGAGAGCTCTCCGTATCCTCAATCATTCTCTGCAGCAACACACTGTCCAGCTGGGGAAAACATCCAGCAGTTGACAATTAATCATTCGGGATATCCAGCAGATGGATAGCCAGTAGGTACGTACTTGTTCGAGTCAAGTTCCGGCCTCGCCGATGACCCGCGGGCCCATCGACAATGGATTGACCATAGATCCTTCCTCTATGGGTCTTCGTGAAATTAATTCTCAATCAATCTGGATTTGAGATGGATGTTTTCCTCAAAAATGCAGCATTACTCCCACTATCAGAGTACTAGTAGTAATGCCTTCTCACGTCGCCATTATCCACGTGCCATATTACCTTACCCATCAATATGGTTCCGACCGCGATCCTTTAATCTGGGTATATGAATCTATATGAACTCAATAAACTTTTAACCGCAAGGATCGTAGGCATTGGGAACTCAGTTTAGCCCCCAATCCCACGGTCGCTGGACGTCAGCATCAGTTACCTCGTACCACTGATGGCCAACGACTTACTCCTGGGCTATGGATGCATCCTTGTGACTCCGGAGGCGAATGAGACCCCGAGTCATGTTCCCACCGGTGCCCTCCTGCGGCTGCCAAGCCATGCAAGCGAACGACGACGCCACGAGGCGCGAATCGGATGCATTGGTATGCACCGATCGACGAGTAGCATCAGCTTCTATGGACTGTGTTTTGGGACAAAGTAAGTACTTTGCACCAAGTCCGAATGAAGCCTGCAAGCCCACCTTGATCGAACTGACTACTATTATTTGTTAGACCAAAGGGTAGAGGAACTATTGACAGCGTTATCGATGTTCGAGCTCCCGGGTCTTTAATCCGTCGGTCTATAGAGGACACTGAATGTACATCGCTCTTGGACCAGGAAGGAGTCGGGAAATTGAGTTGAACTAGTGCCTCGGGTTCTCATAGATCATCGCCATTCTTTGCGATCCATCACAAACAAAGAGAAACAAGAGGGCTGTGCATTCGAACCTGCCTAAGCTTACGGTAGAACCTTATCTACGCAAGTGGCTTCTCTCCAAATTCGCCAGCGACAATTTCGGTATCTTCCGTTGGTTTGTCAAGAGCCTGCGGCTGAGTTTTAGCAGACACTTAGCTCCACAGCACCGCGATCTTCTTCCAAGTGTTGAGGAAAGCATGCTTCTGCGATGGGTGTCGAATTATTGAGCGATAGTTGCATGATTGCTTCTGTTGTTCTGTGGTCATCATCCAGATCTTGCATGATCTCATCACTGTCGGATCAATGCGAAACCTACTTAAGTAGGGGTAAAACCATGCCATGTGAAACTTTATTTACGATATCATGATCTGTCATGATTCGGAGATCGTATCGTTCATTGACCACCCGAGGTCGAGGGCCAGAAATCGTCGTGGAAAGATGCTCGCACTGAAATACTTTTTCTCTTTTTTCTTCTTGGAAAATGGGAATGTGGAGATCACTTTCGCCTTTTCCGGGTTTCCGGAGTCGTCTTGCCCGCCGGCCAACACGCCGTCGGGCCACTAAGGCAGGGGTAGCTTTAATCAGCAGTCCGTCAGCGTCAATTAGTGGAGGTAAGATGGGCGCTTAGCCTTAGCCACAGGAAACACCCTCCAAGCGAACAGGTGAAGCGGGAGTGGCGAGCAAGTCTAGTCTAGCAGACGCATCCATGCGTGGGTGTTTGCTTTTTCGATTTTCCTTATGAGATCTATCATATGCTGGTCATCGGCGCTATCCAAGTTTCGTCCTCAGACGCAGGAGAAGCCTGCATACCTTCCCTCGATGAAAGGTGAAAAGGCGGATGCAAAAATTCACCTTGTAACAGGGTCCCTCCAATCTCAATGCAGCTCCTCCCGTGTCGCATTCCTTATCTCCTTCGAGAAGTATGTCGGAGTGGAACTCGAAAATCCTTCTGCATTTGGATTTCCTCCGAACCCCGAACAGATGAAACGAAGCTGTACGTATTCACTTTGATCGTTGTGCACCTGACATGCGAATAGGGGCATACACATTCTCGTGCTTTGACTATGTTCCACGAATGTCCCTGGGTTATCCTGGGCCCATCACTGTGGGTTTCAAGGTCATGCCTTCGTCGTTAGATCTTACTCGGTACAGGCAAGACAGGCCTCCCGCGGGATGGTTCGCGGGATGAGTACCATGGTTCGGGCAATAAGCAGCCTCATTTAGGGCCAGAGAGAGCCTCTAGGGTGGTTGAAGTACCCTTTCAAAAATATTATTGATAATAGACAATGGCAAACAAACCTTAGCCCATCGCTAATTGGGGTCTAGGCTCTGGCGGTTTCTTGGAGTCTTTGCTTTTAGCAGAGATCTACAGCAAGGATGGCCATCCACATCCGTTCTATTTCCATCGAATGAGCCCGATAATGAACAATGTTATCTGGTGGAAGATACTCCGGAGTGTTGTCTTCAGGCTTAACCACAACAGACAAAGAGCAGAAGATACCATCTCTGTGTAATACACAGGAAGAGTAACGATACGTACTGTGCTGATACCATACGATGTAATTACGACCGGCTGCGCGCTCCAACCACGTGCTTCCCCCCCTCGTCCTCTGTGGGATTCTTAGTCTGTTTCACCAGTTTCGAGTTCCCATCGACCCCACAGCAAAAGCGGAGTCCTGACAGGACGCATTGAACTCCTTCCATGCCATTGACTTGGTCACGGTGCACTGCGACCCCCTTGCATGGCCAGAAAAAGAAGGACAGAAAGAGGAAAAAAAGGCTTTTGCGCATAGACCAGGACTAACTTATTGACGGGGGCAGTTAGTTGCCTGCCAGCCAGAAAGTACTGTCAGTGTCCAGAGTTTGGTGTCTATTTGACCCGCCCTGAGATAGCCAACTTTTGTGAGATGCAATAGTCGAATGTTGTATCCATCCTTCAGACCCTAAATTTCGTTGAAGCATTTCTAGTGAATGGGTAGTCACGGGCAAACGACAAACAAGCCTTTGCCCATAACAATCCTTCTGCAGTTCGAACCCCCTTTTTCCTTCCCACTCCTCCGACCCCTACCCTTCTGGCCTCTCTTACCGTTCGTAACTTCGTATATATTACTCCACTCCACTCCGGCTGGATGGGGTTCCTGAAAACCGCATGGAAAGCGCTCCGTAAAAATGGATACTCCGTAACGGCAACGCATCCGCAGGTTACAAGATACTTACCTTATTACTTGGGCAGTATCTTCCATAGCTCCGACCACCCAATGCCATTGGCCAATGCCTCTGCGGTCTCGTCAGGGTTGACGCCGGAATACCGCGTGGTTTCTATTCCGGGGGAAATGCAGGCCGGGGTCTTGCCGCCTTTTCTCCTCTTTCTAAATTTCTAAGTTCTAACGGCCGGCTTTGGATCCTAACAGGGAAGAGCTCCTTCCGAAAATAACCACTTCGGCGCTGATTAATGGACGATCCAGTCAAAAGTAATTGAAGTCCCTGTTGCACTCCCGAGTGACCTTTCATGCTTGGCTGGGCGATCTTCATTCAGCGCCAATCGGGAACTCCCATAAGCACCCAATAATGATGATTGTCGTTCCTCATCCAAATACTGTTTAATTGCGGCCCATCTTGCTTGCGGCTAGGTTGCACTAAGGGACGGTACTTTCAAGCGAACTTGATTCTGGGCAGACATGTCACATGCCGGGGGGAGAGAGTGGTGATACTAATGCGGTGCATACACTCCAGCTTGGCAACTTTGCTAGAGAGCACAAAGTTGACTAGTACGAAACTTAAGCCTACTTTGCGCATTGTGGCTTCTATTCAGGACCGCGTAAAGTTGCTTGGGCTTCTATTCTCTCTCCCACACACACACATCTTGGCGAGGGACAATACAGGAAGTATCTCGCAATCCCGAACCTCGGGCGAGAATTAGCCGTTTGGCCAAGTGGATAACTTCCAATTGTGACCCGTGTTGAGGCAACTCCTGCTGAAGCGTCCGCCTTGTGGTTATTGGCCAAAGCTGTCCGTCAAGCTGTCAAGTCAAGGTGCCCTCCCTAAGCGTCAAGGAAGCCACCAGGTTCCATTCGACTATCAGTACCTTATTCGAGCACGGTATCTGCAGGTACCACCGCGGTGGACCTTGCCGTTGCTGCTGATTGCCTGTTGGGGACTCGGTAAATGGAGCCTTATTACGAATCACAGCGATTTCTCATTGGTAATACCTCAAATCACTTCCGTGATCCGTACCGGCGGATTCAGTCCGGGTATCGTAGAAATGGGTGCTTTTTTTTTGTTTTATTATTTGGCTTTTGACTTACAATCTTGGAATGGCTACTCATCCCTGCCTGGCTCTTTCCCTTTCCATACATTGTTGAAGTACCGAGTTTGATCCCTACCCGAATAGGGATGTAGGGCAGCCGCCGTTTTCAGCACTCTACAGTAGGAATCCCTGTTGAGTGACACACCAGGTGTGCCTTGCTCCGTGGTTCAACCATGGTTAAGCAGTGAGCCAAACAGCCATAAGGTTTCAACCGAGCTGTCTCCCGGAGAATTAGACAGTTTCTCAGCATGAAAGGGGTTCAACCAACACATGGAATGTAGCAGCATGTAGGTTGATTGGTTTTGACACTCGTGGCGCACTCTCGCCAGGGGATTGCACGACATCTGAGCGCTTTCTGCTGGCCAAGTTGTTACATCGGCTAAAGTGAGTAGTAGCAGTTACCAATAAGTTCTTCAGCCTTCTGGGATAATCCAAATCCGTAAATAGCAATGAAGAAATCTCCTTCCCGTCCACTCACTGACCAACTGAACCACGCCACCCATTGTCAACATGACCATCAACAACATCATCATCCCATCTCCTGACCCCTGAAGCATAAGATCCATTTTATGCTCCCCAATGCACAGCTGACTCATCACCGCCCTCAACTGCCTGACTTGACAAACTCACTAACCAATTCACTAACGAGCCTAGACTGAAACGCCCGCATCGCTACGGAATTACAGGGGGAGGCTAAGGGTAAATAATAGGCTTGCGCAATGAAATCCAGAATTATTATTATGGTTAATATTTCCAGCTCCGAAATGTTGTCCCCTTTCCCTCAGCTCCAGTCATCATCATCACAAGGATTCGCCGGTCTTGAACTTTATTCCGAGCTGACTGACTCCTAACGAATTTACGTGGTTCTGGTGAGATGAGTCGCATGCAGAACGGCCAATTACCAATTTCCCTGAAGAGGCCAAGGTCAGTCAGTCACCTTACTTTCTTTTTTGTCTTGTTTCTGATTAGCCACTAAGAAAAGTTATCTGGTGCGCTTATCAATTGCAACCCAATCACATTATTACCCCAGAATTTGGGTCATTTCCGACTGACTATGCAGGGATTGGATTGGTACTCTAGCCAATCCATCCCGCACCCTGCATACGGGAATGTACACAATAGCATGAGATGCTACTACTATACCACCTACTTATGTATAAAATAATCAATGTACTACCATCAGCTGACATTTACCCACTGCAATCTTAGCGAAGAAAGTTCCACTCACTCGGAAGATACTACGGTGCACAAGTACAACTACAACCATCACAGCAGCGATTCTAATAATAATAACAACCCTCCCGATATTGAAAAATGTCAGCCCTACCGGGGGTATAGGCGACACGATGATCACGATGACGATGACAATGACAATGACACGGAAATTCTGAGCAATGCTAGTGGTGATAGCAGTATTAGTAGTAGATATGGACGACAAAGGTCACGGGTGGTGATGAAGCTCTACGCGGCGTCTTATGTCGCTTTTGCCATTCTGTCGTTCTTCTCTGCCGCTTATTACTTTTTGTGCTGGATGCCGTGTATGTTTCATGCCCCTATCTTGATTGCTGTTGTGTTGAATTATTACTCTTGCTCTACGGTTACTAATCATGGTCATGTTTGTACAGATGAACCGTCCAACAGTGATCCATTCCCGGGCCGTCATCGGTGATGCGCAATATCCAGAACAACCTGTTTACACAATTGATCGAGGGGATGCGCATATCAGTCGATACTCAGAACAAAACCCAATACGGACTCCTATGCAGCGGGATACTCGACTGATACTACACTTCACCTGGCTGGAAGACGCCCGGAGTGGGCAGAATATCCAACTTACACTTTTATACATATACCTCTCGGTATAGAGAGGAGAGAGAGAGAGAGAAAGTGAGAGAGAAACAATGTACATACGTCTCATATACATAATGCACAAAGAAGCAGATACGATCTTAACTCCATTCCATGAAGAAGCAAAAGTGTATCCATAATTAGGGAATACGAGTACTCCATCTGCCAGTAGTGACCTGTCGCTGCTACAAATCTGCGCGAACAAATACAACCAGGAGGATAAAGGCGCCCACTATACGACCTTATATCCTAGTTAGGAGGCGGGAGAATACCTTCCCAGAATAGTTTTTGATCACTACGCAAAGAGCCGCACATATAAGTATGTTCACGCAGTGCTAATTTCAAACTAGTTCTATACAAGACGAACTAGTATAATCCCGAGTCATAATTCGACAGCGATATTCAATGCATAGACTGGATATTACAATACTCTGTCTTTGGCCAAATGTTTTCTACGGCTGTGCAATTGGGCGAGCGAGGGCAGCTTTCAGAGAAACACATCTGGGCGGTTTTCACCAGATAATTAGTGGTTGCCCCAAGCTCTCTTGTAATTGATGCAAGTCTCTCGATCGCTAAGTTTCAATGCAGTTCACGCTGGATATTGGGATTACACTTGTTGGATTATTCACATACCTATATATATATAGTTTCTGTCTGAGGGGAAACAGTACAAGGGCTTCCGTGGTGAAGGACCTCGAAGTATTGGGTGGGAAAGTTCCACACACCAGCAGACCTTGAACAGTTATTACATATTTAGCATAAGCATAATACATCATGTGGCTAGGGCTTTCCTTGTTGCTTAGATTGCAGGAGATGAGAAGTAGATCCTAGAGCTTCTCAGGATTATAGGCAACAGCCAGATAGCGGCAAGGGTTCCTCATTGATGAGCATGGGCTCAGCTTGTGGGGTTTCAGTATTTGTGAAAAAGGAAAGGCGATAGATGTAGCAATGTGACTGAGGTAAGTATGTGCAAAGACATTTCTTTGACAAGATGGGAAACTGGGGGAAGGGAAAGACACGCGGGGTATGACTGTTAGGGTATTGGTAGGCATTGGACGACGTGACTACGTACTACTACTTAGTCTCATAACAGTCACCACCAATCACTGTGACATATCAACAGACCGGGCAGGCGAACAGAAGCAGGCAGTAGTGTATGATCCAACTGGCGCAGTCGCTCTTATTCCGTCCTGATAGACTAAAAGCGTTAGTAGTAACCGGGGTATGGAATGCTAAGCAAGGATCTGAGAGGCGAAGCAAGAACCTGGTGGGGGTGGGCTGTGAACCAGCGAAAGCGAACAACAGTCGATTGTCAGTTAGTGTGTGTTTAGTTGATACTTAGTGGCATGCATAGTGTACAGGATGGAGCCAAAAATTTCAGCCAGAGATGCAAATCCCAGCATAAGCCAGTCTTTGTTTGTATGCGCGGATTATTCGCTTTCAAAGAACGAGTTGCAGGGATTACAATATCCTACTAGTAACTTAGTATGTCACGCTGCTGTAAGATATTATAGTAATGGATATAAATCGGGGGGATTACCCAAGGCTGATCGTCTCACCTTCATTTCTCACGCCTTATCCTCTTCTTCGAATACTACTGCCCAACTCCTACATTCTCATACTTCCCGCATCAGAGCAGAACAGAACAGAACATGGATCCCCAGAAGCAACTGGTCATCAAGCTGACCTCCTTTCGATACAAGAAAGAAGGTATCTCCTGGAAGGAGTTCCATGAATACGGCGCCAGACAACATGCACCCAAGGCTGCCCGTATTCAGGAGAGACACGGCGCCTACAAGATCACACACGTGAGATATTCCAAATTGTCCGTTTCTATCTCGCTTTGACCTAACATGATAATTTCTCACTAGGTATACACTCCACCAATCACCAAGAGCCTTATCACCGAGAAACTTCCCTGGGCTCTCCGTCCCGGCTGGAAACTCGACGACCACGACGTTTCGATCTCGATGTACGTGCCTAATCCCGAGACACTGCAGGCAATTATCGCGGACCCAGAGTTTCAGAGTCTCGTCGCGGGGGAGGACCATATCCTGGATCAGGAGCGGGCCACGGTGACCGCCGGCTGGGAGGAGGTGTTTCTTGACGAGGGTAAGATTGTGGATATCGAGCGCGAGAGTTGGGAGGCTTTTACCGCTATGGGTCAGGACAGTGGGAAGACGTCTGCTCCTGAGGATGTTCGTATCTAGAACGGGTATTGCTGTTGCTGAGCTATAGATGTAGTCATGTATAAACCCCTTCATTGCTCTCCATAATATATCGATGCCGAGGATCAATGCCCAATATGATGGAATCATGCCCCCTTTCCAAATGAATATGAACGTGCTTCGGAGATCATTCTTGAAAGAGTGGGTAAACGACAAATTGATGTTCATAGGAGGGAAACATAATTGTGGTACAGTAATTCACATAGATAGTTGAAGTGCAATGTTGCCGGAATATTCCGCACATGTTGAAGATACGATGAAGACCCTAAATGCCAAGTTGACATTCTCGGTGACCTTCAGTAGTGGAGATGTTAATCAGGATCGCTATACACTTCTCATGTAGGCTACCACTTCATTGTGATCGAAACCATTGTTTTGCCATGCTATGGCGTGTCCTCCAAAGCTCCTTCCCTTCTACTCATGGTCCTAATTGTATATAAAGGGTCCCCTCACAAATTAACAGCGATAACAGGACCATCATATTCCTTTCGGCCACGCATCAGCCAGAACACCGTACTCATCAAGCAAACGAACCCAAAGATCAAGGAAGCATAGTTCATGTTAGACGGAGTGACGGGCTGATAAGAGGGAAACACCATGAAGATACTGGTGAATAGCAAATAAATGATGGCGACGACATTGATTGCAATGCCGGCGCGGCCAAGCCTCCATGGTCCATAGTTCACACTATGTGGTGCGGAAAGGCGGCGCCAGAGGAAGAAGACAATAGGGACAAGGTATGAGATATGTAATCCTAGAACGGCAAGTGAGAGGATGGCGTTGAAGGCAGTAGTGGATGCAATGTTGATCAACCCAAACATGATGAGCAGACAGCTAGTTGTGATTATTGCGCGCTTCGGCAACTCTGTGCGGGAATCGAGCTGAGAAAGGTAACTGGAAAATGGAAGAGCTGTGTGGGTCAGTGATGACATTCAAGAAGTAAGAGAGGAATAACGAGACTGTTAATACCTCTGTCTCGAGCCAATGAAAGGACCATACGAGCTGTCGATGCCAGCAGTGCAGTGGTACCCAGCCAGGCTGCGATTATTAAAACAGCAGTCAGGGCACAGCTTCCAGCCAATGATCTTGTCACACTGCGGAAAATCTCGATTATTGGGTAGTCGGTCGGGGTCTGAAGTGCACTTTCCATGTCCCCCATGCAGAACAGAATGGTGAGTAGAAACACAAAGCCCAATATGTCGTTGATGGCAAGCGATCCCAGCATGCAGTACGGCACGGCAGTTTCTGGGTTAGCCATCTCCTCGCAGAGATGGATGGCTCCGTCGTAGCCTGAGCTCAGAGAGTCAGATTACGCATTATGTATAACAGGTGGTTGTCAACGAACCCGTCAAAACATAGCAGCTGGAGAGCATTCCAAGGCACCAGGAAAGACCATTACTAGGCCACCCAGTGCTATTCAAAAAGGTAGTGAAAACAAAGCTGGCATCATGTTTGATTGGCACGCAAGCCCACATGACGATTAGGACAACCAGAAATCCCACCAGGTGAATGATGAGAGACGCCGTCTCTACCAGGGAGAAAAGACGACTGCCCCAGATATTGAGAGCGGTGGAGAGACCGACAAGAGCCCAGTATATCATTGACAAATGCCAGCGCTGAGGCTGATACGCCTCGCATGTGAGGACTACAAGGCCTTGTATCATGCCTGCGGCAAGATAAGGGGCACTAGCAGTAAATGATATCCAGCCAAAGGTTCCTATTATGTGAAAGAGATAAGCATCGTCGCGTATAAGCCTGGTGATGACAGTGTCTACCTATCCATCCCACGAACCAGCTGAGGATATTCTGCCATTTGTTGGGTGCGAACTTTGCGATGAAGTGATACTGACCACCAGCCGTAGGATACCTAGATTGTAACAAAGTCAGATAGTATCAAGTATGAAGCAGGAAGCACCGACATAGACACCATTTCACCTAGGGAGGCTGCTGTTGCCATGGAACCCACAATCGCAACTACCATCTGATCAGATTTATTACGTGCGGCTGGAGCAAGGTAGGACGAACGAAGGAATCCATAGATGAGGGATACAGGGCCACCACTAACGAGACCCGAGGACATTGTACTATCGTCAACGGAACAGTTAGACACGAAGTTAAGGTAATGAAGTAAGCGCAGGCTTTACCTGGAGAGCGCCTCCCACGTTGACATGAGAACCACAGTCAAGGCAAATATAGTAAGCCGAGAAAAGGGCTTCTACAGACCAAGCATCGCCATTAGAATTTGCCCATGTCGACTTCAGACTGGTATAGATCAAGGAAAGAGGATAGTGACCTTCATTGGGATAACCTCTCCCATGCTGAGCCCATTCTCATCAATGTCTGCCGACTTGGCAGCCATAGTATCTTTAGGGTTCTTCATACTGGGCGACTTTTTATTTTGGACAATAGGAGTGCCATTAATTCACGAAATGTGAGACTGTGTGGGTAGGTAAGGCATGTATAAAGCAGAAACTCTGAGGTATAGGGTCCATCATGAGTGTCCAATAACCGGTTGCAACCTGAAAGATAGGCATCTTCGGAATCGCCATGGCCAGTACCCTGGCAACTGATATACAGACACGAAATGATTAGCGCTTCGTATCTGAAAGAGTATAAAAAGTGCGGGCCAGTGGAACGTTCCGATGCTTATCTTGACAGCGGAATTGCGGGGAAGCACTAGTGAGATACCTTATCATCTCTTGCGAATTATTGCCGCCATCTGCAATCAGCTTCATCTACTCCACAACATTGTCCTCACAAGCAATACTACTCCCCTACCCATTCTCTGGGCCCACCATTGCCAATGTCGGACTCACAGCCCGTCTCACGCCGCAGGGTGAAGACTCGCAGTGAGTAGCTAAGATGATTCAAGTGTGCATACATTGAGGGAACTGACACACCTCTGTTGCCAGATGGCTGTCTAAGATGCAAACAAAGGGTGGGACCAGCAACTCATAGGGTACTTCCTCACGAGTGTACAAGCTGACCTGGCTAACAGCGAATCAAATGCGATGAAACGCTTCCTGTGTGTATTCAATGCACCCGTAAAGGTTTCGAATGCCCGGGATACAAACGTCCTTTGAAGTGGTCATCCAAATATGAGGTGGGGAAAAGTGACAATAATAGCGCAGCACCGAAGTCTTCCGAGCGGGTGCTTCAGAGGACAGAGCCCATTCATTCAGTGGAACCCAACTTGTTCGAGTCCACAGTGTCGGACAGTACCACATGTTTCCTGTCTAGGCAGACAGATCTCCATTCCGCGCAGGACGAGACTGCTGCTAGATCAGACCCCGTATTCATCTCTGCGGCAAACTGTTTGCCGTCGAACGATATCTGGGCTCCTTCAAGTCTGCTGGGATATGATTGTGGTGATTCATGGACAAGAACCTTTATAGCGCAACGGACTTTGTCAACTCCACAAGACGATGACACTGCACTTCTTTGGCATTACTTCTCTAATGTTTGTCCTGTCAACTCGTGCTTTGACTCACAAAAGAACTTCCTCCGCGTCGAAGTGGGATCCCTGATAAGCTCCCGACCTCTGATTCACTACTGCGTGCTATCAATGTCCGCCGCTCATCTGACAACAAAACAAAGGGATATGATGACGATAACACTGCGGCACCGGACAAGTGCACTCTCCTGCTTGAAGGCAAAACTCACAAAGGGGTTTCTGGTACAAGAAATAAACAATGGATCACCGCTCGATGAAATTGCCGAGATATTACTTGGTAGCATACTTTTGGGCATGACAGAGGTAGCCATCCTCCGTGTGCTTATGCCAGCCTTTTGTATGTCAAGCTGATGGCCTTTCATAGGGGTGGCATGATCCAACTCAACTCGGAGTAACACATCTCCATGGTGCACGCAGCTTGTTCCAGAAATGGATTACCACCGTCCCAGCGCGCTGCCCCCGAACAAGAGACACAATCACAGGGATCATGTCCTACTGGGAAGCAGTCGCTTCTTTTGTACACAGCCAGTCTCTGGACTCGATTTCCTACCTGATACCGTACAGTCTCGAGGACGAGAAGTGCACCATCTACGTCAATCCCTGGACAGGAATCTGCACACCACTTTTCATACATCTGGCCCAAATTGGTATATTGACAAAGCAGCGATCTCTTGCCCGACAATTGTCTGTAGGGTGGGGCCATGTAGGCCCCGACATGCTCGAGCAGGCTAGAGCAATTGAAACTGCGCTCCTTTCCTACAAAATCCTACCAACGGATCGCATAGAAGACACGGTTGATTCCCGGACACCTGTCGACCACCTCCAACGAATTGCACGCGTCTACCGGCTTGTAGGATTACTTCAGCTCTATATGACCTTCCCCGAACTGCACGGAGGCCCTTCTGTGGATACTAGTCTAACCCACAGTATCTTGAACCTGGCCGCCAATGTGCTTACCACCGTCGGGGTGCTTCCGCCAACATCTGGAGTTTATTGTGTCCTCACGCTTCCATTAATTATCGCGGGTAGCGCTCTGCAACTTCCATGTTTCTCGACCGATGTCCCCGCATCCATACTGCAGCAGGATACCTATCTTTTCTGGAGGGAATTCGTGCGCGAGCGCATCAAGACCGTTCAGGAAATTGTAGGACTCGCTGTTATTGACCGCGCGCAGAAGATTCTCGATAGGGTGTGGTTTCTAGCCGACGTGAGAAGGGCCGCTGAGGGGCCTGGCCAGGAATGGGAATACATCCAGTGGACCGAAGTGATGAGCTCCGAGAAGCTGGAGTCGATCTTTGGTTGAATCTCCTATGACACTAACCGGATTGGGGAAAATAGTGCGTCAACTAGAACAAAGAATGCGATTGGTCGGTTTTCATACTTATAGATGTCTTTCTAGTTGGATCGTGAATCTTCCTTAAACTACGACTCAGTGATACGCTAATATGGAACGGCTTATGCTCCGGCTCTTAGTATCCCGAGTGACTCTTCTTCGGGATCCCTTTCAGCAACTATTACTACGGCAAACCCACTAAAGCCCTTCATAGCAACTGCTACATATATACTAGTAGCCTCATTCCAGGCCTACCAGAACACTCAACGCTTTCTCCCACCCCCCTCCATCCCAGTGTCCAGACATAACACAATCAACATGGTCCTCCAAGTGAAAAGCAATACTGCAATGTACAACGTCCCCAGATACGGAGACATACCCAACATCTTCTTCGGTACCGCCTCCTTCCCACCTACTATCATCGACCAGACATTAACAGCAGACATAGCGGACCTACTAGGCACAAGCAAAAGTGGCGAGAAGAACCCAATAGTTGGATCCTGGTTTCGCATTGAGAAAGGACCTGAATCTACGCCTCCGACATACTCGTATGACGAGGTTGGGGTGGTCATTGAGGGTGAGTGAGCCATACCACTTTGAGGACGATGATAGGACATGTATCAACTGATCATTGTTCTGTTACTGTGAAGGGGAAATCAATCTCCGTGATGAAACTGGACAGACCGTTACAGTGAGGTCAGGAGAAACATTCTTCTTTCCGAGAGGCAGTACTATCACCTTTTCTACGGATAGTTATGGGTTGGCGTGGAAGTGTGGGGGTCGTGAGATGGCGAAGCTTTGATATGTGTCACTGGATCATGATGTAGCATTCGGATTAGTAGGGTCTAGCAAACTGATAATGGAGTGGATCCAAGAACCTTGTTGTTGCTTTTCAGGGGGGATAAAATGAATTGGGCCAAGTTCTGCGACGCAGAAGCCCAGAAAGGATCAACCAGTGCCCAGCCAAATAGATACGCCCCGTTCCCCTCACTTGTATATCTGAATTCATATCCCGCTAAGCGCACCATTACCCGAAATGGCAAAATAGTGCGTCAACGATGCCTCCTGTGCTCATCTATTGTCAAGGTTATCAGCTGCAAATTTAGCATCGAACATAAAATGTGCAAGACTCGGAAGTAACGGCTATCACCATAGCACTCACTTTCACCAACTACTTGAGCATCCCAACATCCTGTCAGACACCCACTAAGTATATACACCATCACATGAAACCCATAATAACCCACCCACCTCTGTACATCACCAACGGTATCAACCATGTCCCGCTCCAGCGAAGGCTACCTCTGGACCCCCAAACAAGCCACCACAGGCCTACCCACCGACGCCATCCACCCCAGCACCCCCACCCTCCTCACCCACTACGACGTGATCGTAATCGGGGCCGGGTTCGCGGGGCTGATTGCAGCCCGCGACCTAAGCAAGAAGCACCATCTTTCCGTCCTGCTCCTGGAAGCACGGGACCGCATCGGCGGCCGAACATGGACAGCCAAGGTGCTGGGCGAAGAGATCGAAATGGGCGGGACCTGGGTCCACTGGAACCAGCCGCATCTGTATGCCGAGCTGCATCGGTACGGGTTGCACCGGAACCTGAAGACATCTGCGGGGGCGTTCGCGCCTGTTAATCAGTGGTTCAAGTCGTCGTCCAGCAGTGGCATTGTGGAAAAGGTGTCTGTTGAGGAGTATCAAGCTACGCTTGAGCGGGTTGCGGGGAGATTCTTCGCCATTGATGGGCTGGATAGTCGTGCGTTGATGCCGTATCCGCATGATTCGCTGAGAGAGCCGGCACGGTGGAAGAGGTATGATTATCTTAGTGTGGGGGAGCGGTTGGAAATGTCGGATTTGGATGGGTTGTCGGTGTGGGAGAAGGAGTTGTTTGCGTCGAATGTTAGTACCTTTGGGAGTGCGCCGGTGAAGGATATTGGGTTTGTGGAGGCGTTGCGGTGGTTCGCGCTGGGAGGGCATACAATGGCTGGGGTGTTTGAGTTGGCGGGGGTGTATAAGTTGGGGAGTGGGGGGATGACGGCTTTTGCGAGGGCGGTTTTGGGGGAGTTTACTGGCCATGTTTGCTTTGGAGCGGTTGTTGAGAGGATTAATCATGGTCGTGAGAAGGTGGAGGTTGTTATGAAGGATGGGAGGGTTGGGGCTGGGGCGGTGGTGTCGACGATTCCGCTGTATGTTTTTTCTTCGATTGCCTTCTTGCTCATGCTCTGGATCTTGACTAACAGGGATAAACATAGGAATTGCCTCACTGATATTCAGTTCAACCCCCCACTATCCCCCCTCAGACAAGCCGCTATCGCAAAGGGCCATATCAACAAAGGCGCAAAGATCCACTTTAAGCTTCGCGAAACCCTACCGGGCTGGTTTTTCACTGCGCATGATGGCAGTGACTCGAACTTTGTCTTTGCGTTCTCAGACCACAATGGAACCCGACCAACAGGTCCGTCCGGCACCTGGTGTATTGGGTTCGGATACAATGGTCAACTTACCGATAAGCAGGATAGTGAACATATCTTGCAGAGGTTCAAGCGTGATGTTAACCCGGATGTTACTGTTGATGCCTATGCTACCCATGACTGGATGAATGACCCGTATGCGAAAGGGGCTTGGGCGTGCTGGGGACCAAACACTGCGTCGGAGTACTTGGAGGAGCTTCAGAAGCCGCATGGACGGGTTGTGTTTGCGAGCGCGGATTGGGCGGATGGGTGGAGGGGGTTTGTGGACGGTGCGATTGAGAGGGGACAGGCTGCTGTGGGGGACGTTTTGAGGGTGTTGGAGGGGAGGGAGGGGAGGGCTAGGTTGTAGGTTATTTAGGTCGTTACTACATTGATGTCTTATCATTCCCAGTGTATGTATGGTAAACCTGGACCTCGAAAGGTCACATCCACGATTGAGTGTATACATTGAGGTGTAAGATAACCAGAAGTATGGCCATAAAGTTCTGTTCCCGTCAAGGAAGAATATAAACCTCGATGATCCGTGTATTATTACACATTGTTGAATAGATATAGAAACACTCACTACTTTACTATCAGCATCAGGTATCTACATCTTCAACACAGGCTACAAATGCAACATCAGTGCTCTCTCTAATCACCTAAATGATTATACCTTCCACCCCCCGCGCATGGACCAGATCAAGTGTCCATCACATCAAAATCCCCGACGTGCCACAGACCAATGGGCATATAAGCACAGCCTTGTCAATACTACTACAACATGATACTCTGCGTGTAGGTAGCATACCGCTAGATTTCCAACCAATGAGATAGAAAATGCAGTGTGCGAAGTGATTGAAATGCATCTTGCATCGTGCTTGACATGTCGGTGTGAAAGCGGCTGGCATGATGGCAGTTATGTACTCACTCACTGTCCTGGTCCATAGCTAGGGCTCACCGTATAGTAAGAATATCGGTGACCATTTTAAAGGCTACCACTTCGATTTGATACGGGCAGATAGGCGATCAGCAAGGATGTGTTGGTGCCTGCCTGCCTGCCTATTCCCTAGATCCTGGCAGTGTAGAGCACGTGTCGATCTATGTAGTATCTTGACCATGTTTATCATTTCTATCTGATCAGCGATGAGTAAGATCGACGATCTGTGACTTTCCCAAACGACCAAGGTATCGGGGAGAAAAGGAAGGGAAAATAAAAAAAAGAATCCTTGTGACTGGTCATCTGCTCCACTTTCCTTGCGCAAAGTGATGTGTGCCGTGTCTGTGTGGGATGCAAGTGACAAATCGGTATCGGTATGGGGATGAGGCATTGTGACTGGGCCTCATAGCCGCCAACTTGAAGGCCTAGTCTAGATACCTTTCTTCCCTTGTAGGCCATGAGTCATGCGGTCTGATGTGGGAAGCATGTCTGCCTGCAATTTGTCAAAAGTACCATATAGTAGGTACTAGGTACTACCTCTTTGAGCCTGGTGGCTGCATCTCCAAGAGGGACCGGCCCGACCAAGATAAGCTTGTGCTATCCATCATTTGGGGCAAGTTGACTACTGTAGGTAAGTGAGGGGCACAGAGCCCACACACAGAGAAAAGAGAGAGAGATAGAATGCACTCGGCCGTGTTACCGTAGCCTTGGAATTCTCTTTCCCACCCCAAATCCCAATCACGAATCAGATTGGATCAGGCGCCGGGATTCGAGCTTCACTTTTTTATTTTCCCCTCTTGCGGGCGGGATGTGGGCTGTGATGTGCGACGTATCAAATTATGAGATTCCACCCCAACGGAAATGTGATGAGTGATGGATGGGTTTGCCCTACGGAGATTGTTATTTGGGGCCTGGCTAATATTCCGTATAAGGTAGGACGCCGATTAACTACTGGTGGAGGCTGAGTACGCGGGGACTTTTTGGCTCATGCTGGGATTTGATTGATTTAGATGGTGGGTTGTCAGCTGCAAGGCATGAAGAATCAATCCTTTCTCCGGTCAAAATTTTCTCCCCCATTGTTTGCTTTTTCTGCAATGACGTCCTTGCTTCGGAATGCGGATACGGTCTGGCCTTGGTCTTGATGCATCGGAATCCAGCCATTCTGGACCAGATTACCCTAAGTCAGTTGGCAGTACCTTGCCTCATGGTATTTTATTGTCTACGCTTGGGCATTGATTCATGTGAGGTTAAATGCTTAGCCATTAGTAAGCGGAGAAAAATAAAAAGACCAAAAACTGAAATAAAGAGTGACTTAATTTCCTTCCCATCACCTCACTTTCAGCTCACCCGTTCAGCCGCGAAAATTAGATGCTAATTTACCAACGAACATCCCGGTCCATAACGGAGTAAACCTGGTGCTTAACAGACTGACCAAAATCGGCGATCGGCCGGAGATCCGCCGCAACGGTCAGCCACTAAGAGGCAAGGATGAACTCAGAAAGGCAAGACCGGCTGTCATCCACTCCGCAGCTTCATCCACCGGGCGTTCCTCCTCGAGGCGGTCATTGGCACTTAACGGCTCCCGAATGACCCGGCCAACGTACTGCTGTTTTCCCTTTCCGATCCAATCGTGATTCCTGTTCGCCCTGCCCCCCCCTTTTTTTACATCCTCAACCTGTCTCTTTCTCCCCCCCCCCTTCTCAACTGCCCACTTCTTCCCACTTTCATTCAATCCCTTTTGCTTTTTTGGGACAATGGGCTATCCTCATTCGACGCTCCCCATTTTTAAGATGCCAAACGAGGGAAATTAATAATAATCATGATAAAGAAAAAAAAAAAAGGGAAAAAGGTACCTACGTATCTTCATCTCTACCGGTACGATCCACCTCTTTTGTCCCTAGACTATTCTCTTTTTATACTCCTTTTGCGTCGCGTGCCCGATGTCGCCCCTCATCCCCCCCCTCACCCCCTTTTCAGGTAACCAGAAATAAAATCCGGGTACCTGAATTCGGTATTTAGGTGGTCAATTAGATAGCGTGGTACGCCCGACGTCAAAAATGAATCTGGGTTCAGCTGATGAGTGCTGTAGGTCGTAAGGAGGGAAGGGGGACAGAAAAAAGGAGTAGATAGTAACTACATAGATGATACTACTAAAAGTAATCAACTAGTACTAATGTAGAAGGCTTACCTTGTCTCTCCTCTTTAGTTGGTGCTACTTTCGTGGCAGTAACGGGGGCATTTCAGCTGCAGGCCAAGAGCAGGCATTCGTTCATTTTCAGCTTTCCCCGTAAATGGGATCTGAACACACCGTGACGTTAGCATCGGGTTCAGCCACTCTCATTGGACGCGGGCTGAGCAGAAGGATGAAAATCTACGGAGTACTAACTATGACGGTCGACGTGCAGGGCGGAGATAGATACACTGTACTCCGTAGCTACTACTACTACTACTACTACCTATCTACCGGCATGTATCGTTGCCTCGGTCTGGAGATTCTGACTGATCGACTGTCTCTCGTATCATTCAGCCTCGAAGTTCCGCTCCTGCACGGCTGCCGATCCGTGTCAGTTGATCATGAAGGTGGGCTTGGGCTTCATAGTACTTTGTATCCGGAATACGGAATACGAAGCTATCGAGTGGCTACTATCTATCGATTTATTCTTCCTTTCAGATCATCTGGGGCTAGACATATTACATGATAAGTTGTAGATTAGAAGTAGTATATACTAAACCGTATGATGTTGACATAGAATAGTAATGCATTCTCGGTACCGTCGAGTCCCTTCTGTTGGTCCCATTCAGCCCACATGAACCGTTCAGTGCTTACCGTTGCATGTAGCAGGCTAGCAGCGGCATCGCATGACGAACGTCCTGAAGAGTTTGGATTCCCCTCAGTTGATGAAAAAGACCCCACTTCATGTTGAGTGAGGAGGAGAGGGAACCGGTGATTTTCATCGACTAACAAACTAGCTAGACTACCTACAGCGCTACAGGACTAAGTAATTACTCCGGGCCAGGGGACTAAATCTAGCCCGGGTGGATGTTGCGGTTCCACGATCTGTGGTAGATCGACCATCAGCTGACCGACTTTTGATGACCCCGAAGGATTTGGCTGATCGGAATTGTAGTCGAGATACTAAGAAAGTACTAGGTTATGAAGTAAGTGATGAGGATTGCCTATCAGCAGGCTCCTGTAAGTGGTGCAAGGGAAGTAACAGAACGGGGGATCGTTGACTGGCTGTACGAGAAGGGGGACTACTGCCGGTAGTCGTGAGATAGTCGAATAGTAGTAAGTAGTAGAGAGTGAACTTTGAACGGAGGTTCCTCCGCACAGCAGCAGCAGCTTTGAATGGATGACAGCTTAAGTCCTCCGTAGAAGAAGAGTTCAAGTAGACACGGGTCGAATCCCCTCCCTACCGGCCTTTTCTCTCTCCCCCCAATCATGCCATGGAATGGAATCCATCCACTTTGACTGTTGGGAACCATGGTTCGCTTTTCTCCAGTCCCCTTTCCCGGCTACGTATACTTGTTCTTCTCCCTCTCTTAGTTCTAGCTCTTTCTCTCTGTTCTTCCCCCTTTATTTTTCTATCAAACTCTCCCTTCTATCCTTTATTTTCCCCGGGTGTGCGGCAAGAAAAAAGAGAGAGGTTCCGCGCTGTTGGAACGCGACCGGGACTAAAGCAAGTGACGGGCTGCTAGTAGTTTCCCTTTTCCCTTTTGGAGCGATTCCCAGCCAGGCCCGGACTGGACTAATCCCAAAACTAACACTAAAATCTAAACCCTTCTGCTTTCTCTGCGCGTCTTTCCCTCTTCGCGCTCTCCACCGCGCTCTCCACTTCCTCCAAACTCGTTGCGCTTCTTTCTGATTATTATTATTTTTATTTTTACTACTACTACTACTTCTATTACTACTTACTGTTTTTTTGTCCCTGCTCATTACCTATTATTATCATCATCATCCGCATCATCAACAATTCCCAGCAAGCGTCAGCGAGCATCAGCACCATCATCAGCAGCAGCAGCAGCTCCTAATACTCTACTGATTTCTCCTCGCCTATTGTTGTTATCCATCGCCCGTGCTTTCGGTCTATTCTTTCACACCCACCCCCTCCCTATATTTTCGGTATTTATTCTCCTAATCCTGATCTTCTCGCCCCGGCCACCTTTCTATTATTATCCCTCCGTAATCTCCTGGCCTTTGCCCCGAGCGTCCTGCTCTCGATCGTCAATTCGTCTCGTGCTACCGCTTTCAATTCTTCTCTCAATGTCCGACGCTTATTGCCGTCACCCTCAATAAAGAACCACCCGTTCGTGCAGGCTCTGGTCATGTCGTGTCGCAAGCAACTATTGCGATCCCAACGTGGGCTGTCCCTGTCTCATCTTCCCTTTTAGTTCGCCGACGCTGGTGAACTCGAAGCCTCACTCCGGCTCCCCGGGAATAGAGCCTCTTCGGGGAAGAGCTCCCGCCGCGAGAGGGCGCTTGCTGCTGATCGTATAGTTGCATATCCATGCCCGCGCTCATGATGGCGTTGAGCTCAGCATCTGTCGACCGTTTCCCAAGTGAGCCAGGTCAACCGCAGATAGATACTCTCTCAACAAGCGTCAACCCAGGAACCGAGGCGAAGGTACTAGCGAGTGCGGATACCCAATATGCGACAACCGATCTACGACGCGCCCACACGGTTGCCCACGGGAGAAACACCAAGGAATCCCCAACCATTGGCTCGAGAACAACCAGGGAACGGCTGGCTACTTCCCTTCTGCGGGTCAAGGACAGCCACGAGATATCGCGGAAGCGGTCCTTCAAGCGGCTGGATACCTCTCAAGCGCCTCGTGACGCCGCTGTGGGAGCTAGAGAACCGAACCACTTTACCGTGGGGAATGTCGGCCAGAATGGAAAGATCTTTCTAAGGTATGACCGTCTCGCGTTGTGCTATATTTGGCGACCTCGGATGTCATGATCACAATGCTAACACCCTTGTCACACTCCTCCAGACCAATTCGCAATCCGCCGACTAAAGAACCCTTCCCGACGCCTTCTATTCCTTCCCCCAGCCAATCCAGACAAGAACCCTTTCCACACGGACGCGGCGGCCCCGAGAGCGATGAGCCGTCTAGATGGTCGAACTCGCAGCTCTCTGAGTTGCGCCCAGATTTGATCCCTGAAGAGAGCTGCGAAGATGGCGACTCCGTCCACACAGAATCGGCGCGTTCCCAATATCACGGCCTACCTCACCATCGACCCCGTAAAGCGCACTCATTTTCTACTATCTCGGAACAGCGGTCAGAGTCGCGTGCGGGTCGCGCAGGGGAGCTTCGTATCTACATTGATCGAGCAGATAATCGGCCAAAGACTGCCAATGAACCATCCCAGCGTGCCCTGGAGGATTCCATCCCCCGTTATAGGTTGGACTTGCCTCAAGCCAGCCTTGACAATGAGACGGCCCTGCACAGCTCCATTTATTCAAGAACATCAATGTCGGATATTATGCGCACGTCACGACTCCCGCGAGAATACTGGATTGGTACTCTAGCCTCCGACACCTATCTACGGAACCCCGAACGACCCTCCTTCGTCGGCTCGGTCTTTTCGGGCGCAGGTGCCATTGAGTTGCCCCGGAGTTCCGCAGTCAGTGAGAACCCTGTTTTCTATGAGTTGAAGGAGCCGATTGAACCGGCCATATTTGAGACGCTGGTGTCGGAAATGGACAAAGAGTCGGTGGTTCGCTATGCTTCAGGCACCAAAGACATTAGCGCTGCTACGCCGGCACGTATCGTCGCCCAAATATCGTCCGCGTCCTTCATGGACTATGAGCTTGTATCCGATTTCTTCCTGACATTTCGCTCTTATATCTCGACTAGCACCCTTCTCGCACTGCTCCTCGCTCGATTGCGGTGGGCAATTAACCGCCTGCAGGATGACGGCAGGATCATCCGTATCCGGACGTTTGCGGCATTGCGGCATTGGATTCTCAATTATTTTGTGGATGATTTTGTGCCCGAGTATGATCTCCGCGGTCATTTCTGTGAGACGATCAATAGCATGTACGATGATGTCAAGTCTCGACAGGGCGGTGGCATGAGTGATCTCAAGATCCTCATAGATCTCAAACGCTGCTGGTATGGGAAGTCTTCTCTCTATTGGGACTTGCCGAGTGACCATGATGTGTTTCAAAGCCCTGACGTTGCCATCCTTCCGGGTGACCGCGAAGCTGACACTTTGGAGATGGCGGGTGGCGGTGACCTGCTGACCCTGGTGCGTACCAAGAGCGGGCTGGATGCCAGCCCTGCGGGCACCCAGTATCGTCCGAATCATCACAGCCGAAACAATTCGTCAAACACAGTGAAGAGTGTGCCAATCTCAGCCGGAAGTGACCGGAGCTTTCAGGCAATCTCCTGTTCCTTGCCCCCCAAGTCTCCGAAGCGTCTGTCCTTGTCCTTGGCCAACAAGGCACCCCATCCCGTACCTCTTATGCCGCTGAAGCCAACTTCCTCACGGGAAGCTTATCCGCCTTCTCCTCTTACTTCGCGCCGCTATCCCTATCTTGGACATTCTCACAAGCGTAGCGGCAGCTTCTCTGACTCTGTTCGAGATGACAGGGCACCCTTCTCTCTGGTCAACCCCGAGCAACAGGGTGTGGCCGCCAGACAGGAGGCGCTTGATCTCAGTAGTCTAATACGAGGAGAGCTCTATCCTCCGGCAGAGTCGTACACCATCATGATGGCGCCTCCATCTCCCCCTCTTCCATCGTCAGCTAAGGACCTTGCCTCAGACCGCCGAAGCACCTCTCACGGCATTCACAAACCGGCCGCTTCAACCTCTGGCGTCAAGACAATTATTGGCTCAATTCGCCGGGCATTAAACAGTCGACATGGCGCTTCTGGTAGCCTTTCACGGGCGATGAATAGACCGGCAAATGCATCTCTTCCGGGGAGGACATCGGCTCTCCCGACCAATGTCGCATTCGGATCTGATGCCTATAGAGGTAGAAAGACGGCGACTGGGGCCAAAAGGCCCACGAGAATCGATACCCTCTGTGACGAGGTTTTGAAGCAGTATCGTGCTGCGATCTCTGAACAAACCGATACTACAGGAGGCTCCCAGTCTGCCGATTCACAGAACCAGGCAGAAATTCATTCTTCGGCGCCTGGAATGCCGAGAGCGACAAGTCAGGTTACTGCGGGTAGTGAATCCATCGTCATCGTAGATGGAACAGGCCTGGGTCTACCTGTTATGTCTGGCGCTATTGGAGAAGCGAATGCAGGACTCCAACAGCCTCCTGGATTCTTGGAGGCGGAGCCATCGCCTGCAACAGTCAGAGCTCCATCCCCGTACGCTCCACACCAACGATCGACTTTAGCGACCGATGAATATTCTTTGCCTATCTTCTACGACGAACCCAATCCTGGCCCCTCAAGCCGAGCGTCTAAGTTCCTGCGCCCCTCTAGATTTTCGGAAGCCTCGCGCAGGTCATACTCCGTTGAGCGGGCTTCGACTTCGTGGAAAAGAACATCGTCTTCGTTGCGTTTACGGAAGTACGCGTCCTTCCAAAGTGGAGTCTCGAAGCACCGCCTCACCATGGGAAGTGACTCCATCCCCCCTCTACCCCCTGGAAGCTTGCAGCAACCCTTGGATAAACCCTCTGGACCGACACTACGTAGGCGTCCTGGTGGAGACTTGCGTCAAATGCGAAACGGCGGCGGCTTCCAATCCAGACCCGATTCAGGGTCCTTTATCTCTGATATCACATATCGTAGTTCTGGTGCTGACACGGCTGTTACTCGGGTTGATGAGCCGTATTCGCGACCCCAAACGAGTCTCATCCCTCCGAACCCTCGGTTTTCGTTATTGACAACACACTCGTCACAGAACCTGCGGCGTTCCTTTGAGGATGCTATTGCACAGTTCGCACAGATCCCAGATGACGATGATGGGGGTGTCGAGTCAACACTATTGAAGCTCGAAGGGAAATGGCATGGGACGTCTGCTGGGGATGCCGAGGCTTCTGCTGCTGGGTCAGATCCATACCTACAGCACTACAATCCAGGTGAGGTCACGGGGGAAGATTGGCTCCGCCAGAGCCGTGGGAGCGCAGGACCCCACAGCTTTGCGAACTCGAATGCGGTGGCTAGGAGACGCCAAACCTTCCTTGGTGATGGTCTGACATACTCGCAAGTTCAGGGACGCATTGTTCCTCAACGACCATATTCTGACTCGATCGCGGAGTCCGAAGACTCCTACAGCTCTATACCTCTCCTAGAACGGGGATTGAGTGATGAGTCAATGAAGAAGCCCGTCGCTAGCCGCCCGACGTCTCATATGGCCGGGCCTTCCCACTTTCAACCCAGTTTCTCCAGCCGTGAGACATCGGACGTGGAGTCCTCTCACCCCTCTATTGACATTGTAAAGGAGACCGAGAGTATGAAGCGCATTCCGCGAGGTTCAACACTTCCGGGCATTTCCTCTGGGTCGAGAAAGCATACAGGGCGTCTTTCTGGGTTGTCATCTGGGCTTTCAATTGATATGATTGATTCGCAAGAAGCTGCAGAGCAACGTTTCTCCATAGATACGCAAAGCATGACCGATTCATCTCTCGGTATTCCGCCTCATCCGCTCGCTCATCCACCCTCCCCTCCGATGACGGTCCAAAATACCCGATCCGTGGGTTCTTGGACTACACCGTTGAACCCGGTGCTGTTCCAGGCCCAACCATTGACACCAGATCCTTCTCCCAGAAACAAAATGGCACAGCAAGCGAATACTCGACCCGTCAACACGCAGCAGGTTTCAGGAGATGTTCTTTCCCAGTCAGAAAGGGGTCGCCGACTCCCGGAACCATTGAAGACAGTGGGCCCTGAGCATGTGCCATTTGTTCTATCGTGCGAATCGCATGTCCTTGCCCAGCAACTGACGTTGGTGGAGATGGCTGCCTTGAGTGAAGTTGACTGGAGGGATCTGGTGGACATGCGATGGAGCAGTGGGTCACCCACCGTGTTGAGTTGGGTGCAATTCCTCATGGAAGACGAGCACAGGGGCATTGACCTTGTTGTGGGACGATTCAACTTGATGGTTAGATGGGTGCTCTCAGAAATCGTTCTCACGCAAGATATTCATGAACGAGCGCGAACGATTGCCAAATTCATCCACACGGCAGCACATGCCAGAAGAATGTGCAACTATGCCACAATGCTCCAGATTGCCATTGCTCTCTCGTCGACCGACTGCTCTCGCCTTCAGGCTACCTGGGACCTGGTACCCGTTTCCGACAAGCGTCTGCTCAAGGATATGGAATCGCTAACGCAGCCCATTCGCAATTTCCATGAGCTTCGTCTCGAGATGGAAATGGCCAATGCGCAAGATGGTTGCATTCCATTTGTTGGTAAGGTTCCTTTACCGTTGACCTATGGTGACTTAAGCTAACTTGAATTCTTAGGCCTGTATGTCCACGACTTGACGTATAATGCGCAGAAGCCAGCACGAGTCACAACACAGGATGGAGAGTCCCTGATCAACTTTGAGCGCTACCGCACCACCGCGAAGATTGTTAAGAGCCTCCTCCGACTGATTGATGCCAGCACGAGGTATCGATTCGAGCCTGTGCCGGGTATCATTGAACGTTGTCTTTGGATCGCATCACTTTCGGAGGAGCAAGTCCAACTGCGCAGTAAGCAGTTGGAGTAAATCAATTGTCTCAGCACGCTAGAGGCACAGCAAAGTAATGACAGAACACCAAAGGAGGAATACTAAACAAGAGGAAAAGAGAAAAAAAACGAAAGTAAGAAAGAAAGCATACGAAAGACTTGCATTGAGGAGTTATCCATTCGGGTCACCAGCGCACCTAATATACCCCAAGCATATCATCCGTCTATGATTACCAGCGACCAAGATATCCTCGACGAAGTTTACTTTTGCACCCACGAGTCAGGGTTGGCATTTTGATACCAAGTTACCATGTACAATAGCATTGCATTTGTCTGCGAAGGAGGTTATATTTGTGGATTTTTGGGATTGGTGGTATAATTTTGGGGATTTATTCTTTTTGCATTTTGGGTTCATGAAGCGATATCCATATGGTTAGGGATCATAGGATGGTGGTAGCATTGATATGGAAGCGACGTTATCCCCGTGGCAGGGGAATGAATACTTTTTTTTGAAATAATGATGAAACTCTTGGAAGTGCAGAATCTGTAACATGACTAACGGGATGGAAGGAAATCGCAGCAGCTGAAAGCGAGTGGAGCGGGCGAGTTTCATCGGCCGGGAACATCCCAATCTCCTCTCTGTCTCTCAGGCTGCCGTTCCGCCTTGCTTTCTCCCTCCCTGAACATCATCTCTCACCCAAATTATTCCCCACCTTCCATTCCACTTACCCTGGGAAACAGAAACTATTCCAAAGGAGGCTGCCCCTCCCGTGTGTGTCCTGCCTTATTTCCTCCTCCATGGAGCGAGAGCCAGAGCTTCTTTGCCCGACTCCCTCCCCTCCCTTCTTTGTTGGTTCCTGACGTTATCGCACTTCCCACCCGCCATGGACGCCTCCGGATCCCCCCGCGGGGCGTCGGACGACCTCGACCGCAGCGCGGCACGCAAGTCCTTACACGCTGCAGGTCTGCCGGATGATCTCCCTAAGTCCTTGGACGACCGTCGTTCTATCCCTCTCATCCAGCCCGAAACGGAGATGTATGATGCCTGGCAAGGTGCGTTACTGCCTCTCCTTACTTGTCGCGCATGAAAGAGGAGGACACTAGTGCAAGCGACTATACTTGCTTTTTTCTGGACACTCGGAGGACTACACGATCCGACAAACCCAGGAGTCCCCGTGAGATCGAATATAACGAGAAGTGTAACAGGTGGCTGACCCGTTTCCGTTCCGCAGGCCAATCCCAATTCCTCACCACACCCGTGGCCGCAAAACCATTGAGCTTCAGTCTAGCCCTCGACGACCACACCCATGACGAAGAACATAACCTACAGGCGCAGTACGGGCGCGGACTGGCCGCATCGACCGACGACGATAACGAATCCACAACCACTGCCCGGCTGGAAGACAGTGATGCCCGTTTGATGGAGATGCTTGCTGCGCAGGCTGCTCACCGGGAAGTCGAGTCGCTAGGTGCAGACGAGGAAGCAATCGCAACGGATGAGAAGCTATCGGACGCAGAGAAGAAAGATATTCTACAGCGCAGCTTGAATATGGCGGCTAGTAATGGCGACGTGGAACGTGTTCGGAGATTAGTGCAAGGCCATGCAGCTGAATATGTCGATGTGAATAAGCCGGATGAAGAGGGGACGGTGCCGCTGATCTATGCTAGTTGCTTCGTACGTGCCGCTCTTTAACTCGTTTGTCTGTTTGGGTATGCGCGAAACTAATTCTCGGCGTAGGGACACCAAGATGTTGTCTCAGCGCTTCTCGATGCAGGCTCCCATATCGATCAGCAGGACCGGAATCAGTGGAGTGCCTTGATGTGGGCCATGACAAACAGACACAAGACAATCGCGAAGATCCTTCTCGACCACGGTGCGTCTCCGGATATCAAGTCCTCGTCGGGCGGGACGGCGTTCGACTTTGCACAGCCTGGCAGCGAGATTTCAGAGTATCTGCATGAAAACGGTTACCACTTTGGGCCGAGTGCGATCGAAGACGATTTCTATGATTCCGGGTTTGGGCACGGTCGCTTCGAGGAGGAGATTGCTGAGAATGAATTGAAGCGGCGCATGATGATGGAAGAGAGCGCTATTAACCTTGAGGTGGACCTATCGAGCCTGGGGCTCGACGAAAAGTTTGACGTGAGTGGATGAGTTGCAAAGAGGGTGCCAAAGCAGTGAGCTAACCAGGTCATTTATTCGCCAATAACAGTCGTTGGATGAAGAGGAGCTTGAAGAGGAACAGCAAGAATTCGTGTGGGATCGGTGTCTGAACGACCAGATGTTCGTCTTCCAGGAGAGCGAGCTCGAACGAATCCTCAACATCATCATCACCAACATGACACCACAACGCTCTCCCTCGCAGAAACCCGTCCCCGCCAACCTCCTCTTTCTCAGTGCTCGATATGCGCACTACCATGCTAGTCCCGAATTGCTTGCTAAGCTGCTCGTTTCCGCGACCGAGAAGATCAACGATGTCGTTGAGCGCCATCAGTGGGACATGACGATCCTGGCTTTCTGGATGTCAAACGCGACGTTGTTGCTACATTACTTGAAGAAGGATGGCGGGCTGGTGGAATCTACGGTGGAATTCCAGCTACACCTGGCCGAGCTGATCAATGAAATCTTCATTCTCATCATCCGCGACGCCGAGCGTCGCATGAACAAAGTGCTCGACGCCGCCATGCTAGACCATGAGACCATTCCGGGGCTAGAGGACGTCCACTTCCAAAATGAGTGGAAGCTCTTCCGCTCCAAGTCCAAGAAAACGCCCGAACCGGCGGAGAAGCGCTTCCGACCTCCATCCCCCAGACGGCGCGCACAAGTGTCTCCGCGCAACATTACTTCTCTCCTCTCCTCTACGCTCTTTGTCCTGGATCTCTACGATGTACACTCCGTCATCACTACACAGATTATCTCCCAGCTCCTGTACTGGCTTGGAGCTGAAACCTTTAACCGCATCATGTCGACCAAGCGCTACCTGGCCCGGACCAAGGCGATGCAGATTCGCATGAATGTGTCGACCCTGGAGGATTGGGCGCGAAACAATAACCGCCAACCGGAACATTATGAGAATGGATCGACGAGTAGCACGGGCGAGAGCACGATGGAATCCGCCCGCCGGCATTTGGCGCCAGTCATCCAACTCCTACAGTGGCTTCAATGTTTCTCATCGCTTGGGGACGATTTTGAGTCACTCGTTACGACTCTGCTCCAGCTGCAGCAACTCACCCCGGCGCAACTCTTGCATGCGGTCAAGTCGTATCGGCCCGAGGTCGGGGAAAAGGGATTGACCAAGCCGGCCATGAAATTCTTGATTGAGCTACAGCGCGATCCGGGGCTGTTGTTCCGAGAGCAAGCGAAGCTTCAGGCACCCAAGCAAAACACCACGGCACCCGAGGCAGGATCTACCGATGGACGCCCACAGACCCCTCCGGCCTCAACCGCTTCAGAGACGGCCGGATCCCCATCCACGCGAGCGTCCGTGGCCTCGCCTGGCTCGAGTGTAGCATCTCCGCACCCAGGTCCGTCGGCGTGGATGGATGAGCGCAGTAACAACGTATTCCTGGACCCGTCCCTCACACTTCCCTTCTCGCTGCCCACGAGCACAGATATGCTGATTAGTTACGGAGCGGGCTGGGGCGGCACGAACCGAGAACGCGCGCGCAAGTATATACCGACGGTACCTCCGGAGGTGCTGAGTCGGTTCGACCGGGACAGCTGAAAGGCATGAGGAAACAGGGGGATGCGGAACTGGATACCCTGGGATTGCATTTCTAGTATATATATAGCTTCTATTTATTACTTCCCTGATTTGGTGAGCATGTTTGGAACTTAGCCAGAAATGATAGATTTCCCTCCTACCTGTACTGGCTGGCTGGTGTACGTCGATACAATGTTTGTCTTACGTAGCGTGTTCCCCAGCGATGAAAGAAGGGGAAAGAATTTAAGTCAAGAACAAATACCATGAATCCACAAGAAAGCGGAGAACAGAAAAGATAGAAGAAACAGCAGGGTAGCAGATAGCAGGTAGCAAGTGACGAGCGTCAGAGATAAAGACCCCGCCAAGCCCACAAGCGAAGAAGATGATGATGAGCAGAAATGTTTCCCTAATGGGGGTTCGGGAGATGAAACGCAAGAGGGCGGGCAAATGATATCTAATCTTCTTCTTCTAGTTTAGTATGAACTAGAAACTAGTCTAGTTAGTTGGGAAGTAAGTTAGTAAGTTAGTGAGTTAGTCTAGTTCTAGACTTACTGACAGTCAGCCCCAAAAGGGCCGTGCCATGCTATATCCATCCATTCCATGCCTTTGGGGCAAGCTTCCATCCACTAGGTCCACTCTTTTCCCCCTTCTGTTGACGACGACTGCTTTCTATCCAAGTAGATAGACATGGTTACAGAGTAGATTCATAGATAGGTAAGTAGGCTAGTAGACGGTAGATTGTGGGAATGAAATTACAATCAATCAATGAATCAATCACAGCTGGCCAGATTCATTACGTGGGGGAAATTACTACTACTAAGTAGTTACTAGTTATTTTCTTTTTCTTTTCCAGTTAGAAACAAAACAGTAGGGCCGAAATCGAAATGGGAAATGGATCCCTAAAAGCATGACGAGTCGCGCACTCCCGTTCGTCGTCATCACCCAACGCCCCCGATTCCTGTCTACGCAAGTGAATCTCCACTTGGGGAGGGATGAGATCGCGGTAGATATATAAACTAGTCAAAGGGGGGAGGGGGAGGGATCAATGGGGAGATAACATATTATTTGCTTGGTTTTACAAACTGTCAGTGCTTTTTTACTCATTTACTTGCCCTTCTGAGATACTTTTTTTCTCTCTTCTGTTCTTTCCCCCCCCCCCCCCCCCCCCCCCCTGGCTGGCCTTGCATCCTCAGGCTGTCAATTCCCGATCCAGATTAGTGTATCGCGGGGACCTGTCCCGATTGGGTAAGTGTGTCTTTCCTTTTTTGGGTGCTGCCCTGTTTGGGCAATTGCGATGCTTTCCAGTTCCTTCCCTTTTCTGTCGCTCTTTCTTTTC